ATATTTTGATGTGCTTACTTCTACAGAAGAATTAAATTTTTAATATAATCAGAATGTCTATCCATATAGTATGTGCAAGGTCACTATTAGAATCTAGATAGTATGCGGTAAGTTTGAATATTTTTTTTTTCTTACGACTTCTATGTATTTACATGCTGAAACAAAATTAAATTAATAAATCTTAGACTGGTTTATGGCGTATCTTTTCTGTCACTATATACATATAATAAAAACTCTGTCTGCCATACAACGTGTATGCAGACCCATGTTTTTGACTTCATTTTAACTCAATTAAAAGGGTCCGTATAACATTCTGTCACAACATTATCTATGAGGATTGGTTGTGATTTAAGTTTTGTGTATAGACAAGAGCTTCTTAGGGAGCAGTGAATTATAAATGTTGGCTGTGAATCTTGAGATGCTACCATAGAGATTGCGAACTTTTCACTCCGGGGTTACGAGCCTTGAAATTCTGTTTTTGCACCACCAACTGCCTAGGGTGAGTTAGAGCTCTTTTATACATTGCTATATCCGGATACTTTCATCATTTGCTTAACAATAATGAGTCAATGCATTCGGTGAGCCTGAAAAGTTCTCTGTCCCCTTGTCTCCTAACTATTATGGTATTGTCTCCGGAATCGTAGATGACACTCAAGTCCGGAAATGAGAGGCCCTCCCTAAAATTACGATAAGACATCCTGGGTAAGACACACTCTAAATATTTCAAAAATAAAGAAAAAATGATGATAACATTGTTTATATCCATAAATAGTAATAATTCAATTAAATGTTAACAGCGACATCTATGAATTAAATGTTATACTAGCATGGGTGCAAGTTTGAACTTAGCAGACTACATTGAATTCATTGCACCAAATAGTCTATAGATGTCCTTAATTTCGATTTAGTTACAATATAGACAAAAACTTGTTAATTTATATAAGGTAAATGATAACTAAAAGTATGTAGTACATATTATAAATTTAAATACCGATTCTTTTTGATTATGTCATCTTAATGTATGAAATTAAATTGGAGAGAAACGTGTTTTTATTTTATTTTTTCTCATTGGGGAAATGTACGTCTTTATACCGCTAAAGAAGATTATGTCAGCTCTATTTAAAGTAAACTATTTTTAACACATATTCAATATTACAATTTATCTGTAAAATTGATTTCTTAAATATTTTAGTTATACCTTGTAACCTTATTGCTATGCTTATATATATTATTTCATAGTTTAGAGAGGCATTGCTTTCATGATCAAAGATATTCAGGTGGAACAAAAAGGGATATAAAGAAATAGATAATTAAACTAATACAAAACAACTGAAACTTGGAACAAAAAATACTTGTAATATATACATATAGTCTGTTATGAACAGTATCACAAAAATATTATAATATGCGTTGAGATACTTATTTGGGGAAGAAGTAGAGGAAAAGATAGGAAAAGCGAAAGGGCAACCGGCTTTCTCATTCATCGGATGAAACCCAGCCGTATAAGACTATTTCACGCCAATCTTCTGTGAGAAGGTGGTACTTCCCTGGTTGAGCCAGCCCACTTTCTAGCTGCAGTAATGTGACCACATCTAGGCTATTAATCTGCTGCTAACCACTGTCGCCAGCTCACCATGCTGACGGTCAAACGCTACCCACTCCTCGAGAGTATGAAGAGCGAATCCGTCGGCCCGCCATAGCGACGACTGATGGCCGTTGGGGTTCGTCTTTCAGCAAACAATTTCGTGCAGGTCTTTCAGGAAACATTCATGCCCCCAAAATACCTACACAAGTCGGATCGTTAGGGTGCCATGGCATCTACCTATCCACCGTTAGAAGTGCGATCAAATCGCATTCTCGGTAAATAGACCTGCCGGTGAGAACTCAAACTCTTGCTTCCATCCTTTTGTGTCAGAGTTTCAATAATATATTTTTTATCAGAATTATATATATGTAAGTATATACAAGTATTTTAAAATAACTTATAAAAGGACAACGCTTTATTATATAATATGCGCCTTGTTTAGTATTGTTAAACTTAGATTTTAAAAAATATACTATTTTATTTATTTCCGTTATTATATATTCATTGTCTATCTTTTACATATTAAAAATACGAAAACAAAACAAGGAGGATGATATTTCAGGTTAGACTAGAAAATACTCAGGGCCAAAGCATTCTAAATTTAAGAATAACTGGGGTATATTAGGTTAAACGAATTTTTGATCGTCTTTTACTTCTGTTGAAATAACAACAACCAAGATTTATCTTCTTTTACAGAATAAAAGGGAGATGTGGAGTTCAAAATTTAGTACGAAAATACGGTATTTAAATAAACATTCCTCTCTTAGATTATCAATTCGAACAGAAATCATTGCTTTGAATCCGAGTAAAGAGTAGGCCCCGGAGAGTATGTTAGATTTCAGACAAGTTCAGCTCAAGATTTAATTAAGGTCTTCGTTTCGAGAACTTCTATTTAATCTCAATACTATCAAGAGCGGACTTAGACATTAGAATTACTATTTCTTGGATAATATAGCTACTATCCAAAAAAAATATGATAACGATAAAGATTTGTAATATAAATTTGTACTTATAAATTATAAGATATCTACTATCATGAACTATTTTTTATGAGACAAAAAGTTGTGTCGAATCATTTTATACTCAAATTTTTGAGTACTTCTTTTAGCCAATACTTCTAAAATTTCAAAAACATTTTTCTTGTATCAAAGTAACATACCAAAATATTACTTAAAGGAAATCTTCCAACCCTTGTAATTGGGTCAAGACGAGGTCAAGGCTTTCATTTCATACATTACAATAAAGCACTCAAGTTGAACAAAATCAACTTCTACGTTTACGTAATACAGTAATATATGTGGATGAAACAAAAATGCCAAAGATTTTATAAAAAAATCTCTTCACGCTAAAGTGCTCCTCGACTTGACATAAATGATAAGATAAATGTTTTAGCTGTCTGAACCCGAGACACTCGCATCTAAAAATAGAAATCCGCCCCTTGAATTTTCTGATCTTGTAAGTATGACTTAGGTATACGACTGTTTCAAAGAGGTCATGGACTAATCTGGTGCCGAATTAAGGATCTCACTTTGCTATAAAACAAAAATTGAATATATAAGTAATTTATGATATTTTTCAATAACAATTATATTTCATGTTATAACAATGTGAAGTGTTTTCGTTGTGGGTAATTTTGGAATGTTGGCTCAAAGGATAGATTTGTTGGGGAGAGAATTTGACAGGCTGTGTTAGTAGGTTGCGCGCGCATGTCTCCGCCATCTTGAATTTCCATCCTACTCCCTTACACAGTGATCAGCTAGCAGGACGGAGCTAACAGCTGTGAACGCGAAACACTCCCAAACCCGAAAAAGTATAAATTATTAAGCTACAAACCTATTCATATTAAGAGAACGCTCCCAAATATATTATACATGTAACAAGAGAATTGTGTAAGTGTAACAATGATATACAGTTTTAGTATTATCGATTTTGTTCATTCAAATCAGCCATGGTTCCGTTGTGTTTAATGGTATCCGTTTAGTTATTCACAAGATAATTACAGGGTCTTCAAGTAACGAAGTAAGTAGAAGAAATCGATAACGTTGTAAAGCGCTGACTACCGCTCCCGTTGCGTGATGCGAATGTAAAAGGGACGGAGATAGACGTGGTGGGATTACATCGCTAGAAGTCGCTTTAACGATACAAAATAAATATTGACGTACCTCGTATTGACTGCAAGCACCAATAAAAGGTTTGTAGAACATTGATAATATATTTCCTTTGTCTATCTTTTCTATGTTTCATGATGCATATCTTACGTTTACTTTGAAAGCTAACCATTTCCACTCTAATTTTAAAGTTTTAGAATATAATACTATGTTTATTTCATAATATAATTAAACAGCCACTATAAGGAAAAGCCATTATGAGTAAAGTGTAATTATTAGTTTAGTTAGCTAAAAATTTCCGAATAGGTTATTAAGTCATTCATATTTTTTTTTATAAAATATGTGTTAGCAAATAAATTTGCGCAGAATTCATAAAGTAGACAGCTCGATCCGCCAACGTGGCGTATAATTCAGCTGAAGTGCGTAATGGGGAAAGAAAAAATGAAATTATCGTATTTTGACTTTGCTACCATTTTACAAAATGTATTTAAATGAATGCAATAGGATATAATTATATTAAATTAAACTTTAAATTGCACATAAATGTATACATACAATGTGTGAAAGGAATCTCTGTTAAAAATAATAATATATGTAAGCTGGTTGTTTAACTTACTCGTTACATAATCATATTTTAGCTCTAAAACTCTGGTTTCTTAAGATACAAGGTTATGAAGGCCTTCGTTATTTTCTTTTGTATTCGTTTTAATTTACTCGCTTCTTTGAAGAGTCTTACAAATGTTAATTGAACGACCTATGCTATATTTATTTTTAACACTACAGTTCATGTGTAAATGGTGGCTTTCTGAAATTAAATTTAATAGAAAAATAAGCATTTTTCATTCAACAACCTGCACCTAAAATTGCAAAATAAATTTGTTTATCAGCGAACTAAATAGGATGGAGCGTAATATCAAAGTCCTTTTATTTTATTAATCAATAAAAAGAATTTAGAAATTTAAGCTAAACTCTCTCTTATTGTGTTTGGCATAAACGTCTTTTCTCTTTACACAGTTTTAGAGATAACAATTTGTTTGTACGGTACCTATTCATCAAACGCATATTTGAATCGTTAAGCCATGGTTTAAATATTATTTTAGATTAAATGAATAAAAAATTGCAGTCCGATGTTAGTTTAATTAGGGACGGACGTAGAAGTTGTTGTGTTATTTTAAATATTTATTTAAATATGAATGAACTGAATAATAGTAATAAGTGTGAGGTGAAAAACTGGTTTTATTTGAAGAGTTGAATAAAATATTCTATGTGTAAATTATATGTTATAAATATTGAGTTCGATTTTGCAGATGGCTGGCGGAGGTGATCCCAAATGGCAGAAAGATGCTGGTGATCAGAACTTCGATTACATGTTTAAATTGCTCATTATCGGTAATAGCTCCGTAGGAAAAACCAGGTACCTGTTACCTAATTCAATGGTATACAAATATTGCACACCTTATAATTTCATAATAGATAATTTTATAATGCACCCAAATGTACTGTTTTCAAAATAAATTTTCAAGTTGTTCGAAAAATATTAATAGAATGCACTAAATATTCAAAATAAAAATGAATAATTGATAACAAAGTATTTGCCATGTATAATTTAATATCCAATTTTAAAATTAAATCCGCATCAGCAGCTTAACGATATCACATTTTTAATTCACCTGAAATTCTGAATCGTTGGTGTGAAAACAGTGAAGTCATTTCTATTTACATTACTGGTTAATTATTTCAGTTTCCTCTTTCGCTACGCCGACGATTCCTTCACATCAGCGTTTGTGTCAACAGTAGGAATCGATTTTAAGGTCAAAACAGTCTTCCGTCATGACAAACGCGTTAAACTTCAGATATGGGTACGTTTAGCCTAGTTTTTATGAGATATAAACATTCTACTCCTATTACTTTCTGGCTTATATATAATAAAAGTTTATTTAAATATATGCTTCGAAAAAAGGAAATCTTTATATTTAAAACAGGGTTTAGCTTCTGGTATGTTAGCTTAAATATTGCTGATCGAAAGCCTATTAAGGACGTAATAAATAAATATTCTCATTGTTAATATTTCAATACATATAGATGGAAGTTTTGTTTGGTATTACTAAACAACATATGTAGTGTAGAATATACTTCAATATAACAATTATATTGCAGGATACCGCAGGTCAAGAACGTTACCGCACTATAACCACAGCCTACTACCGAGGAGCTATGGGATTTATATTAATGTATGACATTACAAACGAGGAAAGTTTCAATAGTGTCCAAGATTGGTAAGTTCAAATAAAAAAAAACTTTTTGTAACATTTTTGAAACACACACAAAATAGTCTGATTTCCTATATAAATACATATGAAAACTGTTATTGGCTAAAAAATATCTATAAATTATCTATATTTTAATTTAAACCATTAATGGTTATTTAAGAAGCTTTTATTAAAATCGGTATGTAGTTTGGTCTTTGATAGTATAATATACAATATTTTATTTGGTCTTATATATAATATTGAGATATAGAATGAATTCCAGGACTAAAATGTTCCCATTTATTTTGTACAGGGTGACACAAATAAAGACGTATTCTTGGGACAACGCGCAAGTAATTCTTGTGGGAAATAAGTGTGATATGGAAGAGGAGCGCGTTGTTAGCGCGGAACGTGGTCGCCAGCTTGCAGATCAACTGGGTGTAGAGTTCTATGAGACATCCGCTAAAGAAAATATTAATGTTAAGGTGAGTTCTATTGTCTCGCTACTTCATGTTTGCTTTAAATTATATCATTACAATAGGCATTCTATGGACGTAAGTTTTATAACTGCAGTTAATGGACACTCATTACGGCATAATTATTTAAAAAGATAGTTGAAAATTATTTTTCTAATTAAAGTTTAATTTAAAATTATGGCCTGTTTTGCTTAATACCTTTTTGCTTTTGCTAAATATTTTTGAACACAGGATGCATAGTTAGTCACATTCATTTATTTTTCAGTTTTATTGACATGACATTTTGATGACTAAAATATTTGAAACATATTTAAATTACAATATTAAGTATTAAATCATTTGCAACATTATAATTTTTAATAACTGTTTACCATCGGTAATATTGAAAGCTCTGTCTATTTTTTTTTAGATTACTATATAGATGTTCCTTGAAGGTTACTATGAATTAATTTTTAATAATAACGGTTTAATTAAAGGCGGTGTTCGAGCGGCTGGTGGATATAATCTGCGACAAGATGTCCGAGAGTCTGGACTCAGAGCCAGCGATGCTCGCTGGCGGCCAGCGTGGCCAACGCCTCACCGAACAGCCGCAAGGCAATAGCAACCCTAACTGCAACTGTTAATATGACACAATTTCGCGTGATGACCTTGAAAATATTGATCAACAATCAACGACTTTCTGGCCAGTATTAAAAACGAGAGATTTTTTTAATGTTTGTTTCCAGGTTAATATGTGGTCAGTATTTTCAATGTCATTGACAATTTCATTTTCCCAAACCTGTATAACAGTTCCTCAATCATCAAAACCTATGTTCTTATATATTGCTAGCAATTCTTTTACTTTTTAATTGCATAAATTAGGCCAAAATTATTTAAAGCCTATCTGTTCAATGTGAATGGTTCAAACATTTTAAAATATATTATTGTACTGTTATGTGTATTACTATAATAGAATTTTATGTGTTAGTATTATTAATTAAGGTGTTAGGTAGCATATTGTGAGCTGGAGTAGGGATCTGATTCTTCTATAGATATTAATATTATTTTATTTTTGGGACTTTTTGCTTTTGCCCTGTATCGCTGTTAGAACTTAGGTTTCTCTATTACTGTCTCATTTAAGTATAACAACGATTTATAGTTTAAGAATGTTTTTAAGTTTTGCTAAATAATGTTTTTTTTTTTTGTTAAGACGTGGTTTATTTTTGATGACAATGTAATAGACTTGTGGAATTTGGACCAAAGTCAAGTTCATCTTATTTACTAAAATATATAAACGTTTTTCTAAAAGCGCAAACATATTTTTAGAAATCGTTTAAAGATATTGCATTCACATATTTTTCGTAATTATTTTTAACAATTTTTATTTAAACAATGTTATTATTAATTGTCATTGTCTCATTTCTTATTATCTTATTATAGTTTAAGAGCTTGAAACTTTGTAGTGCTTAAAATTATTAAATATATTACTATTGTGTATACGTGCACAAAAACAAATATAGACAAATATCTCTTTAAAACGATGTTCTAGCTCTTGACCTATATAAAGTATGTTGCTTCGAATATTAAAATAAATAGTAAATGTTGAATTATTATATGTTGTAATTTGAAAATTATGAATAAGTAACGATGACTTGATTTCATTGTATTTAAGATATAACAAAATGCTTAAATGAATATCTCGGCTTGGCGTTAAAATTGGACAATCTATTTCTATAATGCTATAGATTTTTAGAATGCCTATTCTTGTAAATATGTTTCTCCAGTGTATAAATAAACTGTATAGTATTATACTAAATATAAAAAAACGGTTTGTATTCTTGTTACGCTGTGTAATTATTGTAACTATAGTTGTTTATTTAATCACTTATATCATGATGCATTTAACATAACTGCTATTACATTATTATAAAATTTAGTACAATGTGTATTTATCACGTTGATTTAAAATTATAGTAGATGACCTAGACAATACAATTTATATATTCTGTTGAAACACTTGCACATTATAGATTAAGTATGTATCTAGTAAAATATATTGATATAACATTGAAAAATTTATTGAAATTTCATGTAATGTATGATTTTATTGAAATATATAAAATGTTCAAAGATTTCAGATGATGTATGAATAGTAACATTTATAGAATTGGAAAAAAATGACAATGATATCTAAATAGCCTTAGATTTATCGTTCTTCATATGTAACCAAGCTTCAAGATAGTTAACAATTGTCAATTTTTACCTGAATCTTTTCTATTCACTTTTCAGATAAAATGATTAAAATTTTCATAAAATGAAGTGTTGAAAGTAGTGTAGTGGTGTGACGTCTTTAGAAAGGCATGAAAAGGCATATCTTAGAATGGTTAGTTTTAATTTTATAAAGACAAACCAACTTCTGAATTAAACATTAATAAATTCAAAGTGTATACAGTAGAGTTTTACAAGATTTAAAAACAAAAATTGTTGATATACGTAACTCATAATTTCTATAATTTCCAAAAAGCTATGTCTCATTCGAAGCAGAAATATTAATCGTTTAGATGTATTAATAAATGTACGTTATTATATTTGTTGTGCGTTAATAAAGGAATTATTTAAAATAAAAAATGTGTTAGTTTACGTATGTATACGGAGTTATATTTTTATTGCCCCTTTTCATTTCTCGACTATCACATGTATTCACTGTTATTTACAATATTTAAGTGATTCAATCATAGAAACATATACTCTAAAATTGCTGAATTTGTAAGGAAAAATGGAAAGCGCATATGAATAAACGTACTGAGTATTGATTTTAAGATCATGTCGTGTACAAGTGGGTCATCATATCGATTTGTACACACTCAGGTCAGGGTCGAGAGGAAGCTTGCTCTTATCTGACGCTAACATAACTGCCATTTTTGCTTCAAAAACAACATGTTTTAATTTATACAACAAACAATATCTTATGTAACCATAGTATTGAACATAAAAAACATACATAATCTATATCTTACATAAAATAAAACGTGTATATCTCTTGATAACTCGTTAAGAATTCATGAAAATTATTTAAGTAATACTGGTTCATCCCACTTCATTTGGACACAAAAAATGAGTTTAAGGAACAAGTTTAAAAGAAAACCTTTGTCTGAATTTTGTAAGATCTTATATAAAATAATTTAGTAGTTCATTATCTCAGTCAACGATTAAGGTTGAAATGGCAAGACTGTTGTTCACGTTAAGTATTCGGTATGGAAAACAGTTGAGATTAAACGAAAAGATTTAAATAATTCACACACTTTCACACTTTTCTACAACTGAAAATGATATTATTGCAAAAGAGCTGTTCGTTTTCTTAATATTGTGAACTTAATTATTTTTATATAAAAGCATCTAATGGAATAGAAATAAGAAACTAAAATTTTAATACAATTTGCTTGAAAAGTACAAGTAAAAATTATCCCATAACTATCTGTTGTACCCATTTTCATTTAAAATGACTGTAATATATTATCATTACTCAGTAAGCGAGATAAACAACGGTCAGCAAAAGGATAAATGTTAGACATTAATCCAAGATACAATATTATATATTTCCATCTTAATTTGTTAAATTGCAGCTTTTCCTTTATTGCATAAAACCGCATTTGTAATAATAGAAACAGAAAATACAACTACAAGCTTCAATAAGAAAAATACTAAACATTTTGTTTAAGTAGCTTTAATAGGTCTCGCAAGTTTAAGCTTAACTCAGGAATAATACTTGGAATTCTAAAAACATTAATTTGCCCAGTGCCCTCTAGTGTTATGTGTGATATTTAATGAAGAAGATCCTTTGGTAACAGTTTTTGAATCAGCTTGTGAATATATGTCGTAATAAAAGACTTTACACGCAAGATGTCTCTGGTAGTACTTTCAGAGAAATAAGATTAACTACCACTCCATTTGTTTTTAAAACCACAAATACAATATAAGACATATACACGTAAGTATTAATATAATATTACACGTATGCATAAATATAAAGGTCTTGTCAAATGAATTGTACAATTAATTAAATATAACGTACATGTAATTTATGTGATTGAGGTTCTTATTTCGTTAAAAAAAATTCGCAAATAATTTCGACCTCATTACAAACTTGTAATCGGAACAGCTCTTAAAAATGTCAGCATCAAACTATATTGCATGAGCACACATAAAGACATCGTAACATAGCGTCATAAAAAATGTTAAAACAAACGAGACGTGCGGTTTTCACGTCCCTTAATTGTCTCAAACTTCCCTTACCGCAAATATGACAGAGCAGAGTTTACTCTAGAGAGTTAACTGTCTTTATTTAACAGGAGTTTCTTTTATACTAAGTTTTAACTAAGAACATTTTTGACATTCTCTATTATTAAGAAACAAATAATAAGATTATAGTCAATTAACACACAACATTTATTACTAACGTATTTGTTTATGTTGGATAAATCTATTTTTCAAGAACTCATATTACATAGTTTTAATTGTAATTTAGATTAGCAGAGACATTATTGTAAGTGTATGCTATATGCGACTCATAAGGCGTTGAAATTTATTAAAATTGAAATTCTTAGTTATGTAAAAACTGAATAGACATTATATATTAGTTTTACATAGTTTTACTACTTCTTAATATATAATATTAATTATCATATTATATATGTATTTTGCCTAAGAATTGCAGCACCAACATGTGTTATTGATGTTTTTTGTCGAGACCTTACCGTTTACTATACATATTCAATTGTATTTATTATCATTCATTAATGTTTAAAAGCTAAAATCATTTAAAGTCACAACGGCCTTTGTCAACAGAAATGCAATGCATTTATTTTAACCCTCTCTTTAAAATTCTACAGGGGTTTTCAAATTGTCCAATGGTATTAAAATTATAGTGATTTATATCACATTATGTAGCCGTTATTTAAAATATACTTACAATTGAAGTTTAATTACTTTAAATATTCACAATTAACAATTGATTACGAAATTTAATTTATTCATATTATTCATTCTCATTATCTGTTATTTATAAATTATTATTGAAGTAATCAGCAGCTAAGTGCTTCATTAAAAAGGAATGCTTTTGTGATGCCACCTCAGAAATACAAATTTTAGTGGAAGCAGTAGACTCGGAGTGGTTGCTCAAAAAACCAAAAATTTATGCTGCTCTTTTGTCCCCGATGCAGCTATTATACAGAAAGAGCAAGCGATTTTGTAATGGAATTATTTATATTCTAAGTGAAAGCCGCTTTTAATAGTTCTGTTAAATAAAAATTGGGCTTTACTATATGTATTTCTAAAACGAGCTATGATTTGCTAAAAATAGTTTATAATCATAGATAGCCCATAAAATAATTACCTTTCGTATTGATAGATTTGTTTGAACCTAAAAATTTGTCTAAGCACAGAATAACATATATTTATTAATACGTGTACCTCATTTCGTTTATTAGAAAGTTGACATCACCAATAGGTTGCTTAATAGTTTCATTCAAGTATCCACTTCACATACCGTTGGGCGGAAAAGCAACATTGTACTAATAAAATATTTTTAATATTTCAGCCGAAATTGAAAAAATTTTTTCTATGACAATATAAAAACCAGTTCTTTAGTGTGATCTTATTAATAACTTTATATCTCAAAATGATTTAATATATATGTATTATGTTTTCACGAAGCACAGTTTATATTTACTAATAAAATATTAACATGTTTTTGCGTTGAGTGTTCTTATTCTTCACTTGTACATATTCACATATTTGAGTACGCAAAGTTTCGTACAGAAGTTTACTGCCAATTATAAATCACTTGAACTTTTATATACTTTACTTTTCTAATTAAATTTTATATTTTTATCAAACAAAATTTTTTTATACCTTTAGTAATAAAATATATGTTAGTATTAAAAGTATGTACAAAAATAATATTATAACATTGAAATACTGATTTTTAAAAGGAATAATGTTGATGATATGTTTTAATTACACGAATACCCACCAGACTGTTAGCGATTCGGTGTTAAATCGAAACGAAAAATAAACAATTGCCTATTAAATTGCGATTTGATACCAACAAACAATCATTAATGTCAAGGCAACAAGACAGGCTATTTTAGGGATTGTGATTTGTTTGCAAAATTTAAATAAATAAAAGTACAAACAGGGAAAATTTTTCACTCTGTCCTAACGGATTCCATACAAATGGCCAACAAAACGAAATAAAATCTGAAATCACCGTCGGGAGCAGAAAATTTAACATGGACAATAAATCATACCACAAAAGGGAGGTAAGCTGGACGTGACGAAATAATACTGTAGCACACTGTTTAATGAACGAGATGGATTTAAAGCACTTAATAACATTCCATATTTTCACCACAAGGCTAATATATACTGTTAATTTACATTATTGATACTTATTATATGATAACACAAAGCTAAACTGTGTTTGCGTGTTTACTGCTATAAGCGCTATTATTAAGCAAAGCCTGATGCAATATTACATAATAACTATTCATTACCCGTCTACTATTTATTTGAATTTTATATTTCAACTCCCACATATTCTGTAAATTATTGATTTGGGTCAGAAGGGTAACTAGGTTATCGTTCTTATTCTAGTGCATAGAAAATTTTATTTCAAAGAAAATTATTCAATTTGCAACAACGATGTATCAGAAATATATTGGGACTACATGAAAATATACAAATATATGTACATATGTTGAAAAAAAATATTTAGTTATTTTTACAAATTATAATTGTTGGGTTACAAAATTATATCTAATATGGTTAACAAAATTATAACTAACCGAAAAGTCGGTAGTATGTAGTTTTAAAAATAATAAACTAACGCGAAGTAATCCGTAAATATTAGTTTCATTTAAATTAATACTCGCGAAAGTCTTATAACTCATTTAATCTTATAAGACTAAATCATACAAAACATAGACTGACATTTTATTAGTTAGATACATATTTATTATTTACGGGAATGGTTATGTGTACTCATAAGTGCATCAATGTGAAATATAAACACGACTTAAGTGGGATACTGAGTTTGAATAAATTTTAGACTATTTTATATTTAAAATATCTTTTTCTTATAATATTTGTTTCGTATCGTATTCTATTCTATATCTCCTCGTAAAAGAATTGCCATAATCTGACAAAGGATTTATTTCGGAAAGTATACAGGTATAAAAAAAATATAAACCTAATTTATTTTGACTTTTTAAACAGGTATTTTAATTTACTTTATATCTTAGGAATATATTGTCATGAAATGAGATTTTTAGATGAAATTTGTTAGAAAGGATAATCGTTTTACATTAAATAAGTCCAACATTTGTTAATTATTTTTTAAGAAATATTAAATTTTAGTACAATATAAAATAAAGAAATTATTACAATTCAAATTAATTAAAAATTAATGAATTAAACTGTAGGTTCTTTTTCGTTTAAAATTACACATCATTGAATCGAGAATAAACTAACGTTTGTTGTTGGTAGTGGGAACCGAATCTAAAAAGTAAATTGCAATAAAACCAACTGTTAACTTACATGGAGAAATTCATCATAACTTTCAGAAATAGCTCCAAGATTAATAAATGTCTTAAAATATAATGTTTCTTTAAAGGTGACAGTCCAAAGAATTGGACGAAGAGGAAAGTTCATTTAAAATAAGAAAGTAAGTCTGTGTAAAATAAAATACGGTATTATATGGCTGATACAAAACTGAAATGTCATGAGGCTAGCTGAGTTTTCTTTCAAACTTAAAATTTTCTTTTGAACTACAAACTTCTGAACTTTTGAGAATCTAAAATCAACTCGTATAGAAAGAGGAACGTAAAATTTTAAAATCTTTCATACCAACAGAGTATATTAATGAAAGTATTTTAAAATTGTATAGATATATTTTTATAATAGTTCTTTTTATTATTAATTAAATTACAAACCTTGAGTCATCACAACTGTTGGTTTGTAATGTAATTATGTTCTAGTCTCAACAACTAAGTTGTTTGCTGCTACCATAAGTCGAATCAGCGTAGCCGAAATTATTCTTACTTTCTTTCTTTCTTGAAATTTTTAACCTATACAGTTAAAAGTTCTTACAACCTCTATTACTTCCTAGTTTATCCAAGTTTCAGAATTTAGTGATTTTGAAAAGGCAAACGTCGGAAATACAAATACGTTCAACTAATGGAGCTGGAAAGAAAGTTTAAGACGAAGTTCGTTTGAACTCTTCTTGAAACGTTATAATCCGGTTTTTCAGTGGCCCGTAGTGAGTAATAGCTCTTTATCTTTTAATTACTTTTAATCTCCAGACTTAAATATATATCCTAAATATAAACTGTAAAGTTTATAAAGAGTGTTTTATCAGATAGAATTTAAAAAATTTACCATTATAGTGGGGAATGACCAACATTTCATATTTAGTTATTGTTTTGAAAATGTAGTTTATGTATATGTAATCAAATGATAACTAATTAACTTAAAAATAATTCTAAAATGTTGAAACATGTGTGCTGTATCTCAACATATTCCGGGTCATCTCTGTAAAGGCGTACTTAGGAAGGCATACGTTAAAATTGCGTTTATTCCCGAGGGTTGCTGTAATACATTTGAGACTATTTATTTTGCCAACGTACCTGGCATATGCTTTAACACCACGCCGACTATTTGAACATCATATTTTAGAATAAGATGTCATCTGAAATAAAACTTTTATAATTGCGGTATCAGACTGATAGCTGGTAAGCATCATTATAAATTTAATAAAGAATTGGAAGAAAAATAGGAATAATGTTATTTAAAAACGATTGCTTCCCTTTTATTTACATTGTAAGTTGCTAATATTACTAATATTTATTTATCAATATAATGATCACACGATTTATTAAAATGAAATAATCGAACAGTCATTTCAATTATATGTACAATCATTGTAAAATTATATTGTATCCAAGAAGGATAATTTAAATAATAACGACTGACTTTTTACGCTCTATAAATATCATTTATATATCAAACTTAATTATACGATACTAGTGCATTTACTTGTAAATGTATGTTAAACTTAAGTCCTCAATTAATTTAAAATTATATAATTATGCCATAAAACGTGTTTTTGTTGAATAAAAATGAAACAAGTAAAAGACACACTTAATAGCTTTTAATTTAATGCATACGAAAATTTATGTTAAATAAAATTGAGGTCAATATACGACCGATCGTAATATTAGAAGGTGAACAAGTTCAGGGGACCTTTAGGATTCATGGATTAATTGGTTAGACAAATATTATATGCACAAGTTATATTATACGATAAAACAACAAACAGACATCCCTTGTAGTATTTTTTTAATGTAATAAAAGTTTAATCTTTAAAATAGTTGATAAATATGACAACATTTATCTGAACTTTGTGGAGAAAATGAACAATTTCTAAGGCGACTAATCTTGCATTCGAAATAGCTGGGATATAAGGTGGTTTTACACAAGAAGCCCAGTCAACAGAGATTATACTTATCACAGTATCAAGATAGAAAACAATTTCGTTGCTAAACGCTGAATAATTTGCTCTTTTAAAACACATCTGTTTTATACAACAAAATAAATATAAACTTTCATTTTACATTTATTTGCACAGCAAAATCCGGCTTGCATCCACCCTTTGATCCGTGGCTCGTGCAGTCGGGTATCAAAAGTTTAAAGGTTGCATTAATTTTTGTCCCGTAAAAGAGAACTGTTATTTTTACCTGTGATATCACATGCTAAAATAACACATTCATTTCATGATAGACATATTATTGTAACAAATATTATGTGAACAGAATCTCTTAGGGTATATGATACGAATATAATATTATTTGCATGTCTGTCAGGCGCCAGGAATGTTAGTAGGTCGATACTGTTTATGTGATCTCTCCTATGTGTAATTAATGCATCCGAGAGCCCGATAACATCTTTCATTCACGTCAATAGATTAAATAATATAGATATCTAAATTATTTATAACAATCAACTAAAGTATATTTAAAAGATATTGAGATTTAATAAGATAATTGTTAGTCGTATGCACGTTATTTTGTCAGAAAATAAAGAACAATACAAAGAGAAATCCTAGTTAAAATCTCGGAACTCTAAGAACAAGATAACGTGAGACTAACTAGCGCCAAGCTCTTCTTATTTATTTCCTTTGTCTGCCTTATATATGAGGTTGTAGCCGCAGTAAGATATCAAAGTACGTCTTCCTTTAAATTTATTTTGCAAATAATTACTGTTCACTTATATACTTCATTTAATAGCATATAACATTTAACTCACCAAGAGTTATAAAGTGGGAGACCTAGCAAAAAAGTATGTATGTATGTATAAAGATGTTACAAAAATAAAACAAAATTATTTTATAAGAAATTTATAAAAAACCATTTAAAAAAAAGGCAATTTTTAAAAAGAATGGGCGATATTTGTTCTTTATTACGTATTAAATTTTTAAAATATTGCATACGACACAACTTTTGATCTCAGTCTTAATAAGGCTCACTTCGAAACTCACAAAAGTCGATAGTTGTGTTAATAAATGGTCGCAATTTGTTCTCGAATTCTCGCCAGGAACAAACACCCTCCTCGCATATCGATCTCATTGGCTCTTCGTTTAAGTAGAACACCACGTTATAGTCTTCTGAATTGTTTGTACATCTGTAAATAAGATAACCTTTGAAATATATCAGAACCCCAAGTATCTTCTCTGTGTAGGAAAACCATGGTTTTTAAGTTAGTTTTCAAGTATGTATTTTCAGAAAGTGCATAACTGTTTTATTATGACTACTTACACCTTAATAATCTTAATACTCGCCTGTTTAAAACAGCTATCAAATTGGCAGAGAACACAGATAACTTGCTAGTTCTCCATTTCCTTTCACGATCCCTATTTAAGCCATTCAACTTGGCGGTATCCTTAAAAAGTCCTAAAGCCGTATATATTTGATCTAACATAGTAGCGTGAGTAACGTAAGTTACAATTTTCTTTCCATGTCCTTTTTTGACGTTTTCGAAACTCTCTAACAGGTTTGCTAATGGCACTCTCCCAAAAAGTTCGTTGACTGACGTACCATAACCATTCCTATAGTAATGTTTCAGATCTTGAATATATTCAAGGACTTCTAAATCATCTTTTGTGAAGAGAGCGCACCAGGGACTGAATTTATTATCAACAGCAGACCACGTGTATCGACACAAGTCGTATAAAGCTGTGATATTGTCGTCGGTGAGCGTGTAATCAATGCCAGTACGTCTCTGTATTCTGTCTTTGGTCTAAATAAAAAACTGTTATTAATCTAAATAATATTTTTTATAAAAATAAATTGAAGTAGTTTTTTTATGTATCAATATTTTAAAATCTGAATATATGTAGTATACAAATTTTTACTATTTTTTTCATGTAAAATTTTGAGTATAAAATTAAATACATACCTAACAGAAATAATTACTTACTGCTAAATATTCTGAATGCTGCATATACTTCTCAGCTTCTGCATAAATATTAGGATTTCGCTGGACATCTTTCTGGTAGGAACCACATGTTGCATATGGCTAAAATAAAATTTGACAGTTTTCTAAAATTTTAGAGAAAGATAAATAAAATTCTTATAACATACGTTTTCAACACGAAACGTAAATTAATCAACAGAAATGTAATAGTAAATAAATTTTGAAACATCAATCAAATATTATAACTCACAGCCATCACATCTGCATCTTTTACTTTTTCTATTGTTAAGTCTTCTCCTAAGCTCTTTACGAAATGTTGGATACTTTTTTCTATCCAAAAACCTGAAGCAGATCTAAAAGAATAATCTCCATGGCGAAGATTGCTCAATAAATCTGGGAAAACTTCCTTGAGGCGCTTGCTGAGCCCAATCATTTCTTTACGGCCTTCCTCTGTCAGATCACTTTTACCGTTTAAAATATTATGATTTAATTCCCAATTCTGTAAATTTTCAACATCCTGAGCACAAAGTGAACTGCGGCCTTTTTTATAACTTGCAGTGATATAATTCCTTATAGGTAAAGCTTGTTTCATGCTTTCTGCGAATTTAACGCCGGGTTCTCTTTTTCCATGGCGATATATTCCCCATATACTTACTGGTTCACAACCTGTAAACAAAATTTAAATTTAAATATTTCTGTAATAAAATAATTTCAAACGTGGCGACACGGGTCCGGCCTTTAGAACAACTTACCTCGTAATCTTACGATAGAATCTCTTATATCTCCTCTAACCGAATTGTATGGGGTTTCCGTTGCTAAGTATTTATAAGGGCAACCCGTATTCCAGAAACAAAAATTCGATGCCGTTAAGTTAAAGAAACAACAGATGCATATTATGAAAAATAATTTCATTTTAAAACAGTCTACCAAAGGTCAGTCATGTACACTTGGCTGGACCCTAAGATAAACTAATTGGAAGTCTCATAACGCTAGCGTTCATTTTATGCTTCTCAACAGGTTTAGACAAAATAAAACATTTATTGCTTCGAAAATATATGTGGATACCTTTTATTTTCGACCTGTTTATTAATTGATATAATTAATTTAAGAAGGAAAAAAAAAGTTGATGTTAAATAAAAAGGACATGATTACTAAAAATATCATTGGTTCACCGAGTAATATAATGTCTTCCAAGTTTATAATTGGCTCCGTGGGAATATAATATTTTAAATTTGACAACAAATTATATTACTTAAGCTCCCACTATACAGAGGCGTTAAGTCACGTAAGTTAGGTTACATTATGCGAATATTCCATAAACAAATCATTTTATAGCTAACTATGCCGTTGTAAATGACTAGTTATATTTAGAACCAAAAAGATTTCTCATATACAATTTAAAACAATTATTGGTACAAAAAACACTACATCTGATTCTATATATTAAGATACAGTTGATATTATAATATAAAAGGAATGTAACTAGTATGTTATTAATTGTATCTATATTAAACATATATACGTATATGCATGCAGGTATATGTACGTTGGATTTGTGTTTTTTATAGTTAAAAAATATTTTCAATTTCCATTAGTTGTAAAACACGAGATATTCCAAGAATATGTATATCCACCATAAATTAGCTAGTAACTCTTTCTTACATCAAAAGTTACAAAGTATAAGTTTAATTATAACCTGTCTGGCTTAGCTTATTTGTTGTTAAATTACAAGTACACCTAAATGTACGTGAATCCAAAGTGCTACTAAATGTTTTTAGGATTACTCCCAATCGTAAATCGCAATCGTCATTTTGAGTCTGACTGAGTGGATAGAGGCGAGTGCTGCCAAATACATTCAGCATCACAGGTATCATCAATACTGGCAAGCACAGGTTTTGCCTGTTCAACTTCGTCTATCTAACGAGTTCAGGCCATAACTATAGGAAGGTAATGGTTCTGTTCGTAGTAGTTGAATCTAGAGTAATGCGTAATCTTATACCTTCTGATTAAACTCAGATATTTTAAACATACGATCCAATAAGATTTGTGAGCAAATTTATTTTGTGATTTCTTTTCTAAATGACGAAGTATTTCCTTGTCATCTATATTTCGAAGTTAAACAGAATAGCTCCTCAAAATTTTATCATTTACAGAGTTTTCTTCAAGTATGGACTGTCATAGCGAGGTATTTTTATAGTTTTTATAGAGGTATTTTTGTAGCCAGGTTAAATATACCAACAGGAAAGACAGCTTGCACAAGTCTGAGTGTAATTACAACAGAGACTTTTAGATAGATGAGCTATTACCAATCCTTTAAAAGCGAGGATGGGTGAAATGTTACCCGCTTTTGCACAGTGAAGCTTCGAGCTCTTATTCGTAGTGTTAAATACCATGTTGAGAGTTTAAAGTGTCTAAAGAGAATTATATGACATAATATTTATTTAACTTGATATCAATAATTATCTCGTTCGACCTTGTTGGATATTATTATCATTTATAAATTCTATATACTGTAGATAATTTAATTAACAAAAGCTAACGAAACAAATAGCGTCAAAGATAATACTGGCTTTTTTAATGGTAATCTCTTCAGCTACGGTCCGTGGAAGAATAGATAATAAATAATATTTTTAAAAACGTTGTTGTGGTTTACAAGGAATAAAAAGGTGTGTACATAAAATATACAATGGAAATGTATTTTATTTTATTTATTTATTTATTGGAAAACATACAGCTTATATTACAATAAATTATTTCGTAATGTTAGAAACAATTTGCCAGAATAGTTTCCTCAGTTATTTTGACATGAAGTGTATTATTAGATATGGCTTACATTAAAAAAAAAGATTAAATAGAATTAAGAGTCCTTAATTTAATTTATTAATACCACTATATTGTATTGTATGTATTACTACTATAGTACTACATAGTAGTATTACTCAATACAATACAACATGGTGTGAGAAACATCTTATGGTAGACCTTAAACTTTAAGGCTAAAAGAAATGAATGTTGGAACAGTTAACACAGTTAATAGTTAATAGTTGGAACCTTCTCGTTTTGCTTTATGTACTAGAACGAGTAGTTAATTGTATAAAAATATATGATTGTATTAATTTATTAATTAGATTTAAATAATTAGACCATATAATTTGATATTAATCCCCATTAAAGCATTATTATAGTCGGATCATTATATAATATTTAATTGAGTTTTATGATAAATGGGAATTCAACGAAATTTTGAATAAGTATAATATTTTGTTAATTGATTGATCACTTACAGCACATCGGTAATGAACTATAAGGAATAAACTGTGTTTCTAAATAATACTACTACTATGGAAGTACCGGTATAATCCCAAAAAGCTGACGATTATGTATGATTTTTTTAATTCAAAATAACTGGAAGAGTTTTTATTAAGTAAGGCTTCATAATCTTAACAAGTTAACATAAATAATATGGACTTGAGTTGGACAGAACCACGAGGAGCATAAACAGTGTAAAAAACATAACTTAACCGCTTATTTTACATCTGTTACTTCGTCGTTATTGAAAATGTCCCAAAATTTTTGTGGTAGTATTGACAACAAATGAGATTAAAGGTAGTTTCCCCTTTTCGATACAAGCCTCTATATGTTTTCTATTCACTATATAGAACTCAGGAAATAACTTCTACGCTCGTCATACTTTTGAACAGATGCCACCGTAGTTACCAGTTTTTAAGAGAAGGTTTTACTTAGTGGCTTAAATATAAAAGATCATAAATTCCTTTGTTAAAAGAGTTTTCCGTAGGTAAGAAAAAAATTAATGTGTTTTCTTTTATTTTTATCTTATATGGGAAGGAGATTTATAACATGTCATAGAATTTGTGACAAGTTTTTCAGGTTTCCTCACGATGTGTTGGATTACAAAATATTCTAATATACACATCCGAAAACCTCCCCGAAACCTTACAAAGACTAAAGTTTAAAATGCCACACCAAATAATCGCCAGCGTGGAGTGCGTTGATAAGCTTGTTTTTAAATTCAGAATAATTTATACTCATGAATAGAAAACAGAAACAATTGTCACGATAAAGGTCAATAATAATTTTGTTATACATTAATTATTATCAATATAAAATTTGTTACTAACAACGAATTGCGTTACTATAATTGAAGACCGATAAACCCCAGTATATAGATAAAGCGAAATTTAAAGATTTGATTGACGATTCTAAATTTCATATATCATAATATTTATTAAACAGTTTTTATATATTTTTTCCTCTCCGGTGATTGACTGACCTTTTCGCAAAAGCATTGTTTTGAGAATTGATATGTCATTTAACAGCAAAGGTAAATAATAATAAATGCAATTAAATCTTTATTGTTGGACATTTTAAATTTTATAATTTCATATATAATGAAATAATTCAGATTGATAATAAATAACAATTTAAACTATGTTCTATTTAATAAAATGAATGTGTAGACAAGAAAAATCTGCTCAATATTTTTTTCAATAAAAAGTATATTTTAATGTACAAGATCTAATTTTAAAATCAAATTTAAACAATAAGATAATGAATTTATATCATATATTATTATTTTATGAAACATATTTAGTGTTTTAAATATTTGAAAATTTGTAATATCTACCTTTAACAAAATACATTTCTTTAATCGAGTAAGTAAAATAAAATTACTCATTTTCAATAAAACGTGAGCATTTTATATACATATCTGTAAACCAATGTTTAACAATTTTATAGAACAAAAATTATGACCCGTATTGTAATATGTAAACTTACAGAATAATTAGTAAAGGTTATGAAAAACATAAAAAAATCATACAGTTTATTGATATAAATACTCCTGTGTATTTACATTTGAGTATAACATAAGAAATCAGATCACTCTAGTGTTTCTTCATAATTTTACCATCAATATTGACTAGTAGGAATGGATCTGCTCAATTTATATAAAATCTAGCAAAAATCTAATGTAGTGTTAAGGAAAGGCTTTAATGTGTTTTCAAATTGTTCCCACGAACAAATGCCGTCAGAGCATACTGATGTCACAGCTTCTTCGTTAATATAGTACGTTACTTTATAGTCTTCCTTGTTATCTTCTAAGCATCTGAAATACAAATATTTTTAAAACATATCGAAAATGTAACAAAAAGGTTAAAATTTATAACTTTTTCTCAATTTGTTTTCCATGTTTTAAGTTACTTTATTATTTTATTACTACTATATTTTCTAACCTATGTAAAACTACTATTAAGTTTGCCGCAAAGGCACCCAATTTGGAAGACTTCCACTTTCTTCTCGGGTTTCTATATGCGTGAGTTAATGGTTCCTTATCCGTGAACCATCCTAGAGCACTATAAACCATATCCATCATAGTAGCATGAGAGAAATAAATGGTCATTTTCATATTTCCACCCGATTTCACATTTTCAAATGTTTCATAGAGGTTAGATAGAGGCAAGCGACCAAATATTTCACTGTAACGATTTCCAGGTCCATTTCTGTAGTAATGCCGCAAATCTCCATGGTATTCATTTACTATGAGGTCTTCTAACGTAAACAGGGCACACCAGGGACTCGGCTTGCTGTCTATACCAGACCAGCTGTACCGACAGAGGTCATATAGGGAGGTTACATTTTTATTTGTAAGGTTATATTCAATAGCCATTCTCTTCTGAATTTGCGCCTTTGACTGAAAAAATCATGCTATTTATATATTTTATATATTGCTCTTTAAATACGATTAAGATTAAATCATGATACGTTATATTTGAAATAATATATTTAATATGTTCTTTTTTGTATTAGTAGAATAAAATATTACCGCCTGGAATTCTTCAGATTGTTTATATTTAGACGCTTCATAATACGTATCTGGATTATCTCTAACTTCTTTGAGGAAGTTGGGACACGATTCATACGGCTAAAAGAAATAACTTTTTTAACAGTTTCTTATAGCTATGCTTAAAATATGTTATGTACTTGCATTTTATTACTTACAGCTATAATATCATTGCTAGGATACGCTGGTTCCACGTATATTGGAATATCAGACAAACCTTTAACAAAGGCCTCTGCCCCATTTTCTACCCACGGACCGTAAGCTGACCTTATTCTATAACTACTGTTACCAAGATCTCTTAAAAATTCCTTAAATGTCTCCTTTAGTCTTTTACCAATACCAAAAAGTTCTTGATAGCCCTCTTCAGTTAAAGACTGCACTCTTTCAAATACTTTCCTCTCATCGAACCAGTTCTTTATATTTTCGACGTCTTGTGCACACAAAAAGCTATTACCCTTATTAAAACTATCAACTATGTAATCCTTAAATGTCACCGCTTCTCTTATTTGATAGAGAAAGTCTATACCTGGAGTTCTTTTACCATGTCTTATAAGTCCCCAAACGCTTATCGGTTCGCAGCCTAATGAGAGGAATTCTTATTTAAAATTTTACTAAAAAAATTACAACTGTTAATGTTATTGACGTTTACTCAGTTAAATGTGTACATTATATTATGTCACGATAGAGCGGTATATAAAAAAAAACTAAAATAAATAGTTGAAAATGTCACCCATAATAACTGCGACACAAAATGATTCTCTTAATCTTTTATTTTAATTTGATATTGTATGCAAACTGCTCATCTTCACGATATAAGTACGTAGAAATAAAATTGAAATAAGCTTGAATTGAAATATATTAAAAATTAATTGATATGAAATAACTATCATTAATTTTTGTTTAACCAAAGTAAATTAAAAATTATATATTTTTAACATTTATTAAAATAAACCTTTTATTTTATTTCATTTTATAAACAATTATCATACAAAACAGTTGTTATTGACACTACTGAGAAAAAGATTTGAACACAAATATCATACATCATATTACAAAGTTATATATATAAGATATAAAACTTACCTTTAACCTTCACGAATGAATCTCTCAGGTCACCTCTGATACAGTTGTAAGGGGTTTTGCTTGAGAAATGGTTGAAGGCACATTGAGAATTCCAAAAACAATTTTTTCCAAACACTGATATTATAAAACAGCAGAGAACAATGATACTATAGTGTGAACTAGACGACATTGTGAATTTGTCTGTTTAATCAAATATTCTCTAGTGTATTCAACTCTGACATATGTATGTCTTTTAAAGGTCAAGAAATGCTCAATATTCTAAAACGTTATCAATGCGAAGATCCCTACTAATATTATAAATGCGAAAGTAACTCTGTCTGTCTGTCTGTCTGTCTGTCTGTCTGCTACGCTTTCACGCCTAAACCACTGAACTGATTTTAATGAAATTCGGTACAGAGATAGAGTTGACCTTGAGAAAGAACATAGGATAGTTTTTATCCCAGACTTTTGAAAGGTTCTCTTGGAAACGCGATATAACCGAACTCCACGCGGCGAAGCTGCGGGCGGAAAGCTAGTACTAAATAAATGACAAAGCTTAGACACTACCGCGACCAGTTGCTAAATATACAATGAATAACATATTTTGTTTATCGACTGGGAATATAAATGAGAACAATTAATATGGATTACTTATATATAAGGAGTGTACACGTTCCTAATCAATTTGTAACGCCATTAAACCATGATAATTATGCACACATTTAGTTTTATATCCTTAATGACTTTAATAGTGGCCTTTCAAATGGATTGTTCTTATTGCATTTATATACTTAGAAATATTAATTTGATTTGAGTCACAATTTTTTCGTTAATCAACTGCAATAATCCATATTATGACGTCATAAAACTTCAGCAAGCGTTTATGTCTGAGTTTGTAGTTTTTGTATACAACTATGTAGTTCTGTAAAACTAAATTCGAAGAATTGAATAGAAGAGAATATTTTGACTCCACGAATTTAAGGAAAGTACAAGAACATGGTATAACAATTTCTTAAAGGTTTCGTTAAATTAATTAAGCCCTCTTAAATGAATAATAATTACTTGGAAAGCCATTAAAATTAATGTATCCAAAATTTATTTCATTCAGTTACATTATATTGCATTTTTGATTTTAGCCCGTTTTTTTATTGTAATTGATTTATATTTATTTAAAGTAGATATTTTTACAGGTTTTATTCGTTTTGTAGTAACATTACACCAAATATTTTGTTACCTTTAATTAGTAGTACTATAAACTATTTTCGTTAACCAACTTTTTACATGTAACTAAAGTTTTGAGAAGCAAAACAAAAAAATATTTACATAACGGAGAATTGATAGAAGCTAAACAATGCAGACATAAAATCTATTTTAATTTGTGTCATACCATATACAGGGTGACTGGTGAATTACTATCGATATTTGAGGACGTGATATTTGACGACCATAGATGACAAAATAAAAATTAATATAACATAAATATTAATAAACTTCTAAGTAAAGTTAACCAAAAGTTATGTAATTAATTACGCATCGTATGAACACCCTACAGATTAGGTAGCACACACACACACACACAAACGCGCGCGGCGGCGTGTTGTTATATCAGCACGCCGCCGCATACGTTCACACTTGGAACACTTGGAACGTGTCAACACTTTATTTATTTATACGGAAATTTGGTCAAAAATTGAGTACCTATTTTTTTTACATAATTCGAATGAGAATCATGTACCGAGTATGCTCCTTAAATATTGATAGTAATTCACCAGTCACCCTGTATAAATATATATATATATATATATATATATATAATTTTCCTTAAAGTACTCGTACGTATGTATCTATAATACATTTGATTAGTATTACCATATTGATGACACAATATTCATTTTCAACTAGGTCTGTGTGTATTTTTTTAAGTGCAATGGCATTTATCTTCCATAAATGATTTGGTGTGTAATAAGTACCTACTTATAGAAAGGTTATTAGGAACTGCATAAAAATTTCGTGATAGAAATTCTGTAAATTAAGTGAAGTGATCTATTAAGAATCCTATGTATATTATTATAATGACTATATTGTTACCATTATTAAGAAGTATTTGTGTGTCCCATTGCTTTTTAATGCAATTTTAGTATAATTCTTGTAACGAAAGTGATGTCAATATAGCTTTATGTAAAAATTACTTATATAAAAACTTTATATTTACTGGTGTAATAATTTAATAAGTTTATCATGCAGCAAATTAGATAAAGATTATAAATACATATCAAAATATGACGAAAACCAAATAAGATATAGAAATTTGAAAAAACAAGGAAAATTGAGAATTGTATCTACCCCAAATAAAGTAATTATAGAAGTGAAGGTTTTAAGTTTTTATTGCAACCTTTTTGTAACAACTGCAAATAAAAATACAATAATTATGATTTTTTGTCATTTAAGAATGAATTGATATTCTCAATAAACTTGAAATTAAATTATTACCAAAGTTGTTTAAAAAAAAGTGAAAATTAACGATAATATGATAGGTTAAAACTTATTTTGAAGAACGTATCACATATTTTTTATAATGTATTTATGTAGTGTATATATTACTTTCTAATATTTATATAAAATGTATTTCCTTACTGACTTTTTTATAATAACTTCAAAAACTTAAGCGAAAAATAATTGGACTTGTCGCTGTCGAGTATCGTGGAGAAGATGCTCAAGAGCGATAGATCCTGGTTGGCGGTGTCCTCTTTCTGTGAGACAGTCATGTCCACGAAGGAGGCATCTGAGCGGGAAAGGGAGAGGCCGGCTGATGCTCCCTCCCTCCGCAGGCGACGTACGGGGGTGCGACGGAGGCCATTTCAAGGCCTCCAATAGCATCCCCGTGTTCCGGGCTGGGGTCGGCGTGGTAACCCCGCTCTATTGAAAGCCCGGCGTCGTCGGGGTGGTCCTAATTGCCGGGATCTCCCCCACTCTCCGAGGGAGTAAGTCCGGTCTTTGCCAGGACCGGCCAGTCGCTGACAGATCCGGGGTACACCGACATAGCGGCCGATGGCTTTCGCAGTGGTTTTAGTGAGTAGGGTCCTGCCCAGGCCGAGCCTCACATATCCCTTCCGGCCCCACCAAGGCCGGTTGGACGGCTCGTAAAAAGAGTTTCCCTGCGAGATCAAAAAAAAAAAACAAAAAAAAAGAAAGGCAAAAAATAATATTGTCATACTTAACGAAGAATGTAGACAAGACGACCTTTTTTTTGAGTTAGCTATTTAACAAACCTTTTTTTTAATTTATATACTTAATTATTTTTGAATATAAATGAATAGGAGTTTAATAAAACAGGATGTATTTCCACAATTCTATATTTTTCAGCTATACTCATCATCGCTATCCTTACTATGAAGATAAACATATAGACCACATCACACCACACTACAGAAAAAAAAAACTAAATTGAAAAAAGTACGTAATCCGTGAAACTTCAGTAAATAAAATATTATATATCATTGTAATGAACTAAACTGCAGTGTAATGTGAATATGGACAAACCATAAGTAAGTTTACATAATTGCACTTTTTAGTCACTAAACAAATATACATATTAAGCGTAGTCAATAAATAATATTTGCTATCTCATTACAAAACTTGAAACACATTTTTCACAAACATCTCCAATATATATATACTATGTATTTACAATGTATAGTAATGTACTCGTTAATTATACCTATATTTATTATTTATTCAAATTGGCGTTTTGTATATATTAATTCAATTACAACTAATTCTACAAACATACAGTTCAATGAATGAAATATTTAATGTTTAATTATATCTCGAACCCGTTCATGGTAATTTAATACGTACTAAATATTTAAATCGTTAAAAATAATACTAGCATTATATTTTACTTTCTTATCTGCATATGAACTCACAATTTATTATAATAAATAAATTCCTTCAGAAAAATATTAATACAATCGTAATGCCATTACATCTGTTATTATACATCCATTATTTATGAAGTGACAATTATGAACCATATTTTCTTACAGAAATGCGTTACTTATTGAAATTTTAATGTATGCGAAGTTGTTGACAATTCTGTTGTTTTAATATTTTTAGTCATAGAAAATATTCGGAAGCATTTATTATGGACACAAATACAATAAAACGAAATATTATTATACTTAAATACATATGAAATGATTTACGATGTACAGATACGGTCATACAAGTAAAAGTGATCAAAAAAGACATCTAATAAGTTCTCCGACTATATCTATCGGAAATACTTGAAATACGCTATCTATTTAATTTTTCGGTATAGTCTAACTATATTACTATATAGTATAGAGAATTGCATAAGACTTTAAATATCACTAGATGAATCACATCCAATAGAAATATGAACAATGAATATACACCGAAAAATAAGTTTGGTCCGAAATTCATTTTGAAAACAAATTGAACAAAATAATCACATCTGAAGACTAGACTATAAAAGTGTTTTGAGTAATTTTAAATTTAAATAAAGTATGGCTTTGTAAATTTCATTTAAAAATTAAATATTTTTCATTGTAAATCAAAGATGGTATTTAAATCATGGCTATTGAAACTAATTTACTTTAACGAAAATAAATACGTTACTCTCACTAAGTATAAGTAATATATTTTTTATTTTAAGCACTTGACAATAATACTATAGTAAAGATATTGCTTATATTTGTTATCTTTGAATACATTTTTCTACATATTTTTACCAGTTACGTCAGTTATATGAGACGTTTTTCATAAAAACGTACCTACCACAGTTGCGTATTTGTGTTGTGAAAATGATTGGTAATAAAAGTACACATCAAGGATCGTGACATATTCCGCTTACTGTAATCGTAATAATACCAAATTAAAACAAGTTAGCGCTAATTCCAAGATGATATTGTTACTTTAATATGGGAATAGAAAAGTCTAAACTAAACTAAACTAAAAACTAGGGTGCAAGACTCTAAGGAAGTGTAAATTTACTTATATTAGCTTATTTGGCAGTATTCAATTACCTTAAACATTCGACTTACTAATATAATTTGTTGTTAAATACATGTTAGAGGTAATGATTAAAATAATTTTGTAAGTAGTATTACAAATATAATAAATTTACTTTTTATACACAAAGTTATATTCTGATGTAAAGAAATATTCTGAATAATAATTATATTTGAATTTTCTTTCACAATGATTCACATATAATTTTTATAATTACTCCATTTACAAACTATTATATTACATATATTATTATTTATTTGTAGGTAAGACTTTTTCTTTATTTATTGTAATAATAAGCTACCAATTTTAATGAAGCAAAAGTTAATTACGAGCTAAAACAGAAAGAAGTTAACTTCATATATTATGGTCACAACTACATATGTGACCTATTATTAAATCATAAGAACAATAAATAAACTGAATCACTTGACATTATTTCTAAATTCTTAAATATAAAATATTATGGACGTAAAAATCTCAAAATTCACCTCTTATACCCAACTTTCCAATTGTTTGATACGGACCTCTATGAAAAATTTAAAAGTATAAGGCAGCTATCTAAAATACAATAATAACAAGACACTAAAATGAACACTGATTAATTATTTATATAACTATCGCCAGCTTCATCCGCATCAAACACTGAAAGAAAGCATTTTATTGATCATTACAAACATTTCATTTATAAATACCCCTCATTCACGCGACCAACTGCTAAGAGGAATGTAAAGTGGTTTCTTTCTAATATTTTTCATTCCATAAAAACTGTCTAGATCTTCGTTCATCCCGGTTCTTGTTTTGGCTCCAAACTCGCTCTTCTCTCTTGTAATGCAGCCAAAAGAGCCTCTCGAACTTCACGTTCAGAACTTCTCCATAATCTAATCAGTTCTTCTTCAGACAATCGAGACAATTCAGATCTTGCAGCCGTTGGAGACACTCTGTTATAAGGCGAAGCAGATGAAATTTCAGATTCCTGAGTTACCATTATTTCCACACTCGCTCGATGACTTGGAGCGTCTATGGCTAAATAATTAGGAGAAGAATCAGACATGTCTTGATAAGATCTAGTAGAGGATCCTTCGGGTCGCCTAACCATCGGGGATGGTGTTCGTAGTCTTGTATTAATATCCGGGGGGGAATTTGTTAGGAAGCTGACATCACGACTTAATCTTCGACCAATGTTAATACTAGTTTTTTCATATATTGAAGCAGAATCGGACCCTAAGACTGAATCAGTGCTAAATCTACGTACATTAAGACCCGCTAAACTACACCTTTTTCTTTTACTTCTTGGAGATCTATATTGTCTTGGCGACCTGCTTCGACGTGGTGAATGACTTGATACGTCGGGTGACGGTGAAAGAAATTTTGTCTCAGTTACTTCTTCCGAGAATTCTGATGTTTCCACAACAGCATTTTCTTTAATCGAATCCAAGGAAAGATCACGACCTTGCTGGACCCTATGACAAATTTTTACTTATTACTTCTAAATGTAATTAAGAATCTAACATTCCAGAGCGATGCCACATAACATATTTTCTCGTAGATGTAAACTAAGGTTGTCAGTTATCGCCCCTTGCAATCACCTGGGCAAATATGGATTAGTACGACGATTAAAAATAACAGTTGCTTAAATTTTAATTTTAACTTCTATTTACGATTCTTTGAAATCTTTGTAAATTTACTTTTTACATTTACTACTAATAAACCCAACTGTTATAAATTCAAAAAAAAGTTATATCAGATCGTTCTGGAATTATACTTCAAAATATTTACAAACTTACCTTCTGATTTCTTGGATCATTTCAAAGAACTGTGCCTTGCTTTTTCTTCTTCTACGCTGTTCGTGTTCCTTCTGAAACAAATGTATCTCCTGTCGTAATCTGATAGTAGAAATAATGATATTAAAAAGATTTGTCTAAAATTTAAAAATTATGTGTCGATTGTAATCTCAAACTCTATATGTTGATTTTTTTACAAACAATAAGGTTAAATCTTACCCTTTTTACACTTTTTTGGAATAAAGATGTAAAATGACCCTGCCGAATAGTATTAACTAGCTCCCTCGCGGCATGATGTGGTGATACAAGTTCTACGCAATTTATAAATCTGTACAGTTTCTGAAAGGAAAACTTAATTTCAAACTAATTTAAATAGTAAACATTGGAATCGTGGATAATCAAGCTTTTAGAAAGGCAATTGGAGTAGATTATGTCTAGTCTACAAAGATAAGTGGCTCGTTCAGTGTTAAAAGCCGTTGTTCTTCTCGACTTGGCTGACGTAATCTGAATAAATTCATCTGGCTCTCCTAAAGACAAAGGATAAATAAAACATCTGTGGAGTTAAGATTGCGTAAAAATATCAGATCTTTAGTAGCTTTGACGATAGAAGAATCAAGCGAGATTGCCGATGATGATGTTTAAAATTTTAATATCACAAATCTAGTCTAGCAAAATTCTCATATTTTCACATCAAAATGTAAACAAAATGGCATAGAATTATAAGTATATTGTTTTTCATTTACCTGACTGAAGAACATTATATTTCTACTCCTCCAAATAGTTCCCTTGGGTTGATGACGTAAAATAGGAAGCGTGTATTTATAAAAAAGATGTTCCAAAATCAATATTAAGCATCCTACTATCATTCCTACTCCCAGTAATATAAATACGCCCGCTACAGCCGCAACTCCTAAAAGTACAAACAATACAAACAGGTGATTGAATTACCGAAATAGGATTTCATAAAAATATAGAACCTTTAAAGTAAAATTAATAAAATTTGGTATAGAAACTCTAGAATGAAAACAAAATTTATTGTACTCATTTAAAAATACGTTAAAATAACAATATTAATCAATAATAATTTCTTCTTCATATGGAATTTTGCAAGCACTAATAAGAGTGATTGGGAGCAAAATTACTTATAATTATGAAACAATTTCCGAAACCTATGAACACAATAAATTTAACAAACAACACCAGTTAATACCAAATGTAGTGCGATCGGTGGCAGAACCTTTTGATAATTAATGTTTTATCCGATTGGAAGGTTGCCTAATGGACTGATATATAAGGTGACTTACTAATCCAATTGACCTCACCGATTAATCATAGTGTTTGCTTTATTATATATGTATTCTTCTATTTCCAATATTTTTAACGAGTGAATTCTAAGAATATTAATATTACAATATATTTTAATATTAAATACCAGGTGTATAAAATACCATAACTGTCATTTTATAAAGAAATGGTCTATATTAATCAACTTCCCACTACTTCCCCGCTGGGGTAGATAACAGGCTTTAGTTATAATATTTATCGTATCTAAATAAAGGAGTCACACTTTAGACTTAAATAGTAATCAAAGTACTTAATTGTTCTTTACCTTATATTTCAAACGTATTAGTATCTTTTGAACTACAACATTTACGTTGTTGCTGAAATTTAAATGCAAATCTCTTAAGCTATACTAGCATATAAAAATTTGACATCGATTTATGTCTTATGAAATTCTTTAGCTAAAGTGAACTATTTTAGGTTGATAAAATTGTATTAAAACTTAAATTAGAATTCATTTATATGAAAAAAAAGGGCTTGCAATTTAATTCACAATGCCAGTTCAATATAAAAAAACTATACTATCACACTTAACGCATGTAAAAATGAACACGTTCATAATATTGCACGCTTTCGAGATTTTTATTTTCATCATACAAGTTTAAAACTCCTGTAATAAAACCCAATGTTGATACAAAAAGTTCGGTTGTAGTTACAGTACGTTACGGGCGTCGCAATAACGCTGCAGTTAATATTAGTTCCAAAGGTTTATATCACTGACTAAATGGCAAAATGTCCAATTGTTCCACGCAATCGTGTTCGATAATTTTCATCGCACTCGTCTCGTTGGAGGCAATGCTATTTCAGAATCAATGTTACTCTCCTTCTACTAAACTGTTATAAATCCAATACAGAACACAATTTATGTAGGTAAGTTTAAATGTAAAACAATAAAACATTAAATAGACATTTATTGGTTGGTGACAAATAAAAAAGATATGATTCAAACTTGTAACAATCGTACGTGATGTTTTTATTTCGTTTCTAATATTGTCGCCGTTGGAAAATATTATTCCAAAATAAGGAATAAATGCGTCTTACTGTCTCATTTTTTCAGCGATAAATCCCATGTTTAATATTTTAGGTCGGCTGTTGGGAAACTTCCCGTCTGAGGGGTTGTATTAACGTCAGAGAGGCGATAAATCCTAATGAAATTTCCGGAGTAAGCGAAACGTCTGACTATCTTGTTATAAACATTATTAGAAATAGTGATAGTCGTTAATGATTATATTAATTTTTATTTTTTTTTAGTTACTGATTGATATTTTGCTATGTTATTAAAATTTTAGCAATTTACTTAGATAGAGTAAATAAATTATATGTTATCCAAGACGTTTCTTAATCTAAAACATAAGAGCTCTTACCGAGTGGTTTTGGCTGTATTCCATAATCAGGACTTAGTTTGAAGCAAGGTAAAGCACCGTACCATTTCTCAGTTAAAATATCCATATAACCGTTTGATGAATATTTGGCTATTACTGCCGATATGCTGTCCTGAAATAATAGTTTGTTTATAATATAATATATATGAAGTTACTCCTAATTAATGAAAATAAACATCAATTCAAGCTTAATGTAAGTATTCTAATAAGTTAATTATTTTTATTTTCGTAACTTTTTAATATATAACAGAGTCAAGATAAAATGCCGAACCGACACGAAATATATAAAGAACACGATCGATCACGCCATTAGGAAGCCTGTATGAGTCATTCATCAATCTTTCTTTGCTAAAACCCGAAGTCGTTTCACTGTCACCGAAACCTATCTGCGTCCTTCATGTAAATTTACGTAGGCCTCGCTAATATGAAGTCGTTACCGAGAGCACTCCATTACGGTTACCTAAGTTCCATTAAGGCTGTACTTAAACACATCGACGGTGGATAATAACTACATGTCATAAAAAGTTATATGTTATAGTTCTTTATTATAGTTCTTGATTAATTACCTTTAGAGGAAATCCTTTTGACATGCCTATTGCATAAATGTCTTTAGTGAGAGCATGGTCTCCTACGCGTTGAAGCTTACAGCCGTGATCTGTGGCGCGATAATAGTCTAAAACAGGTGAGTCGGCTATCAAAAGGTCCAAACTTCCATTCCTATAATACAAGGTTGTTTTAAGGTTAAAGTGTTTGGACATAGATTAACTAAAAATAAGTAAGTTAGAAAACTATATTTTTTGTATAATCTACATCCAAAATTAATGATAAAATCATATTTCATGAATAATATTATTCTATCTATCTTAAAACTATTCTGTACACTGTTCACTATACAGTTAAGTGTAAAAAGGTACAATATTAATTTCCTCACCTCAGCCGCTCAATTCCTTCCTCTATATTATGAAGGGCAAAACGACGCATTTGTTGCGCCCACAGTGGATTATTTCGTTGAATATAATATTCAGCTACTGAAGATTTTGCTGTTCCGACTCGTAATGACAACCACTATAATACAAATGGTAACCATGATAGTAAATAATAATTATTTATTCAAACAATAAATTGAATGAAAAACCTACATTGCCCCTTCCTTGGTAGTCATCAACAGCATTATGAAAAAATAAACCGGCTATCAGCGCTGCTATATTAGCTGTGTAACTTGCGACAAATATCACAGAAAAGCCACCCCAAACATTGATTAGGAATTTATTAGGCCAGCTTTTTGGGGCTTTGAAAGCAACTAAGTGTCCGCAAAGAAGTCCCCACATTACCCAGAGTGCGCTTGAAATACTAAAGTTTTTTGATCTTTGTCTGCCCCATGGATTTAATCCAAATGGAGAAAGCCATTCATATATTGCCACAGCTATAGCTGTAACATTTAGTGAAGTGAATATTGCAATCCACAACTCTGGAGAGAATGGTAACAAAAACGCTAAAAGTGGTATGTCTGGTCTTTGGTTTGGTGCTGCTAAAATAGATATTCCGCTAAAAAAATAAGGTTGGCTGAAGTCAACTACTTCTGCCCTAGCAGCAGACACGCTAAGGGCAGCAAATGACATGTGCGCAGCTCCGGACACCAAATCTCCAATAATACCATTCCATTTCCATATATCAGTATTTTCATTGGAATCCCCGTCTCCTGACAAGGTAGTTTGTTTATTATACTCATTTTTATTTATATCAATAAAATCTTCTCGTTGCTTGGCCTGAGATCGGTCACTTGATCTATATTTTTTATCAGTATTTTTATCGTCATCGAAATTACGAAATGGTTTTACTAATTTTCGAGATCCATATAGACCATCATCTACAATATATAAATGAAAATCAAATTCTAATTCTTCTGCGATATTTTCTAACAAGTCCATTGCAAATCCATAGCAACAATGAGTAGCCATTTTCCAAATAGTTGATGGTTTAGGTGTTGGGAAAAAAAAATCTGTTGTTGTTTGATCGCCGTCTCTTTCTAATTCGTTAAAAACAAGAGTAAGATTATCTCGATCAGACGTTTGTGGACGATGACACGGCAGTCCGCGTAGACATTGACCATCTTCATCCAATTCACCTTCCATAACAAAAGGTGGAGCTAGAGCTGTCACTATGCGGAAAATAGTGCGAGCGCCTGATGATTGGCCATGAGCAACTAGACGACCTCCTGGCCACACTATTGTATGAAGTCTTACACTGCGACCTAGGATATGGCCAACTTGTCTCCACTTATTACCACCATTGGGGTTTGTTACTAAATTTAAAAAAGCAAACTCAGCTAATAGAGACTGCTCTGGCCGTTCTAATCCACCAGCTAATGCTGCTGCTGCAGAGATTCTTATTTCTCTAAAACAAAAATATTTCATTGTAATACACCAAAAAGATTTTATGTATTTCATTTTCATCCTCTTACTTTTATAAAAAGTCATTTAAACGTTTATATGTAAAAAAAGATATGGATGATATGCATTTTAACAAAGAAGTAATTATAACCTAGTCACCATGAGTATTGTTTGAGAATTTCTATTGACCTACATCGCTGCCCTCATTTTGGGATGAAAAAAGTATCAGTTTCAAGACATGTCAATGGAAGGGCGTTATTTTGTTAAGTCAGCGTGCAAAGTCTGGCCGTCGGCCAAAATTCGCTTCCGTTAGTTCCGTCTGATTTATGATAATGTAATCAAATTGGATGTTACCCAGAAACATATTAAAGTTCGTTAAATAATAAGCAACTGTAGATAGGAAAAACATATTAATTAATTACCTAAATCTTAGGGTCATCACATACCTAACATACTATTCTGAAATATTTTTTTACCAAGTAATCAATGTAAATAGTCAATATTCAAACTCATAAATTCTGTTTAGTCAAATAAATTATACGTATAAGTGAAAATAGGTGATACGTAAAGCTATAAATACTTTTACATAAACATTTTATAACGATATTAGTAACAGTCATAAATTTTCAATTTTCAAAATATATTCCATGTAAATTATAAGAAATGTGAAATGAATACTAAATCCAAGATAACAGTGAATAAATTGCACAGAGAAACGTTTCTACAATTTAACCTGCCAGCTTGAAAGAAAGACGCAGTTAGTTATGTCTCCAAAACATTACACCGAAAACCGACGAAAAATACTTTATATCATGTCGTTAAATTTCAAGATATGTTTCTATGTTTGTAAATATGTACATAACTATATTTTATTACGTACCAAAAAATAACAAAATTTTAGAAAACCCCAAATAAAAGTCAGCACTAAAATAAGTCATATTGGAAAACTTACTCTGATAATTTATAAATGTCTAAAACTCTTCCATTTCATGTCGTGATATATGTATATATAACAGTCCGATGCTATGGGAGCTGAAAGGATACTTAGTTTGCGAGAATGAAAGCCATAAATCAAAGTGAGTGGTTCAGTTTGGTTTCATGCCTATCATAACTTATATTCCCATAAGCTTTAATCTATATCAGTACTTAATATACAAAAATCTTTTTTATATATACTTACTTGTTTCCTGAGATCTTACTTTTATGTTTGGGTACATTTGGCGAGTTAATTTTTTATTAAATAAATTAATATTAGAAAAAATGTATTTATTTAAAATAAATGTAGATATTTTAGAATTAACACATATTATATATTTTTAATTTTTATTATAAAATATATAAATATTTCATTTGAGTTCCATTTTCTTGACATGTATAACCAGTAACGACTTAATAGTTTACAAATTAAATGATTAAACGCCACTAACTAAAGAAGAAGAAGATTAAATGATTCGATTTTTACTAGATATCATTATAAGCGTAGTTGTTCTGTGTCAAATAATAATAAAATAAAATATGCAAACGGGTGGCTTTCCAAAGGGACAACCTTAACTCACTTTTCTATTTGCTAAATATACACATAACAATAGTCACAATGCGGTTACTTGGAACTTTAATATAATTGCTTCATTCGTAAAGTGGAATCATGAATTCTTTATGTGAACATAAATCGGTACATACATAATTCTGTGTAAGGGATCAGGACCATAAAACGGAGAGTGTTGACGTGTAAAAGAGCTTTAAACTTTTTATTCTGGATGCATCATAAGGATTTTTAGAGTCAAACAGTAACTGCAACGGTTTTAACGTTTCCCATTTGGATATTTATTTAAAATTTTGTGTTCGTGAATAGACTCATTTAAATCGTCTATATCCTAAACACAAGAACTTAAACCAAATGGGACAACTTATCGGTGTCACTGTATCGCATCTGTCTTTTTACTTTATTCCGATCGGAGACTTTCCGCTGGACTTCCCATCAGAAAGCCTGACGTTATTCGGCGTGCTTTAATAAAATACGTGCCCTGAATTATAAAGACCGATTTGTTAAAAAGTAATAACAGCCTAAAACTATTGTTGAGTTGTAACTTAAGATAGCGTCCATGAAATCTATTTATGCTTTTAAAATTGATATTTCTTTTTCTAAAAAGTAACGTCGGCCATTTAATTTTCAAACTAATTTTATGAAAATTTCAAGCAGGCAATTGTAAATATATATGTCATAAAATACGATATTAACTTAAATTTTACTTGAAATTATGTTATGATATTTTTTTTTATAATTCACTATATAGCATTTTCGTAACATTTATCAAATTATATAAAATATACATTTTGTAATTACAGTGAATGAAATACAATAAAGATCAAAATTATATTAAGGTCAATGTTTATTCCTTATTTGGACGTACGTTATGAAAATTAGTCGTTTTAATAACCAAGAAAAGAAGTTTTTTTATATCATTATATTTATAACACGTTACCAGTTGTACATATTTTCAAAGCCATAGGGTAATGCTAGTGTACATAGAAAAATCAAAATATTTATAGATAAAACTTTTGGTGTAATAAAAAGTCCATAAATTTTTTAAGAGCCATATAAGATTCAAGGATGATGTCGAAGTTTATATAAAGTTCTAGATTTTACCCGCGGCTTCGATTGACCCAGATAAGCTTATATGTATCTAACCAAATGTGTCTAAGATTCAATATGAAAATATTACTTGTGATATCCCTTAGGAACAGCTAGTTTTATATGAAAGATAGTTAGATAGTTTTACATGAAAGCCTTTAGCCTTTAGCGTTAGTGTATTTATTTAAAATACTAAAATGAATTTGATCGCAGTAGGATGGCATATACGAAATACAATCTGAGAAACAAAAAAACTGTAACTTAAAAGTATATTAATAATGTAACTAGCTTTATATTGATGCAAGTCTAACACAAACAAGTTAAATTGGCGATACTCTATTGTTGAGATATATTAAATTTAATTAACTTTCATTCGCAAGGTACTCTTAATTATGTCGGGAAAAGAATTTATCATAAGTCTCAGCTTTAATGAGCTACTGTCTTATCTAGAAATAATGTTTACTAAGCCTAAGATTAAATAAAGAATAATTAGGTATTTAAATTATGCAATGTCAAAAGAAACATATTTTTAACTTTCACTATAAACATATAAATATCATGATGATGATGATGATGATGATATAAATTGTGAACTTATTTTTGTAATTTTAAGTTTATTAGTAGAAATTTCTATAAAGACTTTAAAACGGAAACATTTCAGAAGAAAAAAAATAAAAGAAACAGAATAATAAAAAAATTAATATACATATTATCTGCTTTGGTAAGTATGTAAAAAGGTTTGAAATAATTCCATAAAAACAACAAAATGTCATGAAAGGTTTAAACTATCAAATAACGATCAGTTATTATAAGGAGATTATCGTTTACATTTCGATAAGCTAAATTTAGTAAAGCCAAAGTATATAAAAAAATGAGAGTAAAACAAAACTTGCTTTGGCAATTCTGTTTTATTTTATAACTTCCCCTCTTATGCCCCGTTTAGTTATTTCCAACACCAACTTCCTCTATTTGACTCCATATAAAGTCGGATAGTTCGTACAAAGTGTTTATTTACGCTTACTTTCGTTCGACGATCCTGTGTTTAGAGACGATTAAGAATTCGATCTCTGAAAAGACCTTGGTTTCCTTTGTCTCTTTGGTCTTTACAACGAAAGGTTTTTGAGTAATGACTTATGATTACGAATCTATTATAACACTTATAGACGCAAAATAAGATTTTATGAATGTGTTTCACTTTGATAAATTTTAGTCTGAGACTAAAAGCTTCCCTACACAATTTTGCACGTCAGTGCAAGATAAGGATTAGTACAAGAGTACTAAGTAAGCTTCTCCCGTAGGTAAAGAACGTTTAGATTATTAAAGAAAATAGGTATGTCAAACATGTTTCAAAATCTGTCAATACATCTAGAAATTCCTACATGTTGATAATTTGCGAGGGGGGGGGGGACAATTTCTATACAATGGACCGATTGTTCATTTGATGCCTACTTAGTAAAAAAATAATGTTTAGGTTAAATTGAGTATTTAAACCTCCACACTTTTAGAAATTAGATTTGTAGGAACAAAAGACTAATATTTTACTTTTTACAATGTCAAAACGGTTTCTAAAATAAAACTGACGTGCAGGTAAATAGAGTGATAGAACAAACAAAAAGATAAATAATTTAAGAACAGAGAGTAGCAAAGATTATTTATTTAGAAACCTTCAAAGTTGTAGAAATTGTTATTCTCCTCCGAAAACACATAAATTAAAAAAACTTTTTACCTGAATAAGAACTTATTTCTTGAATTTTAGTTCTGTAAATTTCATTTAATAGAATAGACAATGTTTTATTTACACATTTAAATAGAACATAGTTGTAATGTGAAAGATATTTAATGTTTTAATACATATATAATCCAGAAGTAGCATCACATTTAAAACTTGAATAAATCAACAAGTACCTTGAAAGTTATTCCTTATTAAATTCCTCGCTTGATTGTAGAAAATTTCAAAAGCTGAAGTAGTTTTCACTGAGGACAAGGCTACGATGCCCTGTATATACGTTTAGGTATAAAGCTGGGTACACAATAATACAGAAGTCAGAGGTATTTTTATTCAAGATTGTTACTTTATTTTTTCGAAAGGATTAGTACAACTTATAGATGTTACCTTTTTGTAATGTATGAGTAAATGTTTCTTATCGCAAATTTTTTATCATGAAATAAAATACATTGAATACCAAAATTAATTGAATTTCGAAATTTAAAATATAAAAATGTTATTTCGTTGAGAAATTTAAAATTATATTTTTTAATTTTCTCTAGCAGTGCCGAAGAGAATGTCAAAAGTACTAACAGCCATCACTTTTTGCTGCCAAAGCAAACTAAAGCCTTTAGTATTTTAAATATTAAAGTATTTAATCCTATTTCTAACCAACAACCAAGCCTTTGAAAGCTTAACACTAGCGGTGATATAATCTAACCTTCGCCTTTTAGATAAAGGGTGTAAAAGTAATCTTGGACCGTTGTCGGACTGGCTAGTCAATTTGCTTTTACGATGATGCTCCACGCTTCTTACTATTCTATTCTTCAGTTTATGTATAGTCCTGATATTTTTTACATATGACCGTCACTTATTGAAGGATGTTCCTTCGGTTAATACTATTTTACTGTTTTTATTAAATATTATTAATACCTTTTTTGAATATTTGATAAAATTCATTTATCAGAATTAAATCTTTAATAAATTGGTATTCTATTTTATTTCAAATGATGTGTAAGATTTAAATTGTCAAATAAAATATATTTTGAGATCTAAGATTTTTGTGAGTGTTCATTAAAATAAAAGTAATATTTTCGGGTTAACTACGGATTTTTAATTACTTTAAATACACACTCCGACGTTTCGGTGACTTTGCAGCAACCGTGATCATAGGCAGAAGAGTTAATTAAAAAAGCGTAGTAAATCCGAAAATATTGGTTCGATTAAAGTGAATTTTAATAATATATCATAATTTGGACTCTTACCACTTTATATTATGCCTAAACAAAAAATTATTCTGTAATAAAGTGAAGTAAAGTTGGTAAATGCATATAATTGTAAATAGACCTCTTGTCTTAAACATCATAATGTTATATTCTTAAGAAACTCAATTTAAACAATATAACACAAGTAAAATAACACATCTAGAACTACTTATTACAGTCAGTACTTGTTTGATACAAAGTAAGTTACAATCAGCATAAGTTGTTATTTTCTAGGTTGTTAAAGTTTACCGCAGCTTTAATTCAATCTGATAAAACTAATTTTCAAGGTAAAAGCATAACTTAATTAAAAACATTTATCCACTAAACTACTAGTGTGATGACTTTGGAATTGGATCTCATTTGTATGATAAGAGTAGCTAAAAGCATTTTAACGCCAAGTATTGAGCAAATGTTAAGTCAAATTTTCATGAGGAATCGGTTTTGCTAAAATGTTTTAATGTAGGCCATTTATATAAAGATAAGAAAAGTGGAAAAGAATTGCTATGAAAATTGATAAAAGCTAGGCAATAAAAGGTTTAAAAATTAGGCTGAAATAATTTAACCAGTTCTCAGACTTTTTGTGTCTTCCTTTTTATATATATTGTGTTGTTTTTATATTGTTATTATTTACCTCACAAATTCCATGGAAAAGTCTGATGCGGCATCACTGGGTTCATCCCAGCAAGACGCAGCTGCGTCGCTAAAAAATTGTGCTTGAGCTGACCACGCGTCGCAAGCGCGAAGTACACGCCTAAGTGCTCCAACCATCATTCTGACAGCAGCCTTTGCAAATGAACTATCTAAATAATAAAAATATAAATTAAACACTAAGGAGAAAAAACATATTTCTAGAAATAAATCAAAATTAATCTTACCTATTTTCATAGACTGCGGATGTAATGCTAGTAACCCAACTGGGAGGCTATTAAATATTTTATTAATATCACTTTCGTCTCTACTAATTGGCTCCTCGTGGTCCATCGCATATCGATTATTTCGTTTCTCGATTGCACCTCTTATATAACTCGTAGGAGTTTGCACCGTGGGATTCATAATGAAATCACTAATATCACTTGAAAATAATATTCTATCTCTTAGTTCTTGACTATCGATACTACTTACAGTATTTTCTTCTAATACTTCATTTTTATCATAAACTTTGTTTATATTTATACTATTTACATATTTGTTAAAAGATTCACTATTCAATTCACTAGAACTAATCTGTTTACCCTTATTTATATCGAGGAAAGACAAATTTTCCCTCTCAACTGAATTCTTTTCAATTTTAGAAGTTTCAACGCCTTTTTTCTTTACATTATAAGTCCTTACATTTTCACTAATATTGCGACTAATATTATACGAATGACTAAAATTTGTATATAATAATTTACTATTCATGTGCGTTTCAATTTTATTTGTATTTCTACTAACACGACGATAAATTGAATTCTCTGAAATATTTCTTACATCTCTACTTCCCATAATACTACTTTTATTTGAAAATCTATTATTTTTTCTCGTAATTTTAGGACTATTTGCTTCTAATGAATTATTGTCTGCGTGATCTCGTTTGATACGCTCAAAATCATCAAATGTAAATGCTTCATCTTTTTCTTTCAAGCTCTCGCTGTAATTTTCCTCTGCATATTTAGTACGATTTCCGATGTTGTGGAAAACATCAATTTCATTAGAAGCGTCGATCCATAACCAGAAAAAATGACCATCAAGCATATTTAAGCGTTTGGCTTCGTCCATAATAAGCTTCGCATAATTAATATCGCAAATTAGAACAACCACACCCCGTGTCAGTCTCGAGACTTCGGCAAGTCGCCTTAAACAATATGCAATTTATTTTCAAGTACATTATCAAATATTATATTAAATTTGAACTACAAAGTTAGTTTTTTTTTAATGAAAATAATACAAATTATAAAATATTTTGTGTGCAATTGAAATATGGTTTCTTAACGACCATTATTATGACTTCAGTGAATGTGATAAATTATTACAAATAATATTAACACTAGACATTTTTTTCAGTTAATGGATAGTCTAAGAACGTAAAGAAAATCAAGAGGCTTACCTAAAGATGGCACGGCGTGTATAATTCGAAGGAAGCGAGAGCCATTTAGGATTAAGCGGTTGAGTTGTAAGGATTGAAGAGAGATCCTTCCGTAGCGATAGCGTTAAATATATGTTTTCTTCAGCAAGCAAAGTAAAAGTATGCCAATGGGTGTGCAGTAGAGTGGCTCTGTTAGAAAAAGTTACGAGTTACTGATATTTGTCAAATAATATTACTTTTAGAAAACAATTACGTTTCCTTATAATTCCGTTTTAAGTATAAACAACAATATTACTATCAACCTGAGTGCATGTAAGGTTTCTCTTGCTGTTATCTCCAGTCGAACCTCCAAAGGCAGCAGTTCCTGTGAGGCAACCAAAATAAAAAATTCTGAGCCATTACAAAACATTTGGATCCCTGTTACTAGTGATAGTGGGTGTTTAGTAGTCAGTCATTTTGCTCAAAGACCACTAAACTTAAGGAATAAAAAGAAAAATGTAGGAGAAAATTCTAGAAAATAGAAATTCAAAGAAGAATTCAACAAAGAATTTCTCTTGGTGCTTTAGGTGGAACCAGACAACTTTATTCACTTCATGCGTTAGCATCTTATTCTGTATTTGAAGTAAGATTCCTTTTGTTGTAACAGTTCCCGGCCTTGAATTCTTTAAACAGTAAATGCAGTAATAAAATGTAAAAAATTTCAACAACACAACAAAACAATGAATTAAATACCCACATATATTGTGAATGAGACATTGTTCGATTTGAGTAACTGGGATTTAGGTCTTAATTTATAATTTTAATGAATATATTTTTATCATTGCTAACTTTATGCAATTTACTAAGAAAAGATTTAATATTAACCAATTTGTGTACGAATCTGCAGCTTTAAAAATATTTTATATTAAAATTGATGATCGGTAACACACCATGAAGCTTATAAGTTGCAATATTGCCTTCCTAAATCTCCCATTTCACTTTAATTCAAAGATAGTAATTATTAGGGCCCCGATTAATATGTAAATACATATTTTTAATTTACGGGATTCTTCGGTCTAGAATGTGTTTTTTACATGGATAGTCATATTTAGACTGTGAAAAACCAAGTTTTATTTTCCAAATTTTACCATATTTCAAAGTTAAGTCCATATTTTACAAGAAAATGTCACAATTATCCATATATTCTCAAAAATACATAAAATTTACGTTCCCGCTACTAATGTTTTGGATAAAAATAAAGGATTAAATACGCTAAAAAAATTGTCAAAATTCTGTGCGAAAGTTTTGAAGGCTGTGGACACGGCTTACACAATTACTGAATTAAGCATGTTTTGATAATTTTGATAATTTAAAGAAGCACGTCATTGTGTATTGCAACCAATTTGATAAGGCTAGTGTAATGGAAGTTGAATAAAACTGTTATTTTTTGTTGAAATAAATATTTCGCTACTTTTTTTCATCGTTTTTTAAATGTAACTTAACGATGTACGTCACGAGTGACGCCTTTCTTATAGTAAAACAATGTTTAATTATGAAAGTATTTAATTTTATACTCCATATTTTTTCCATATTTTTGATTTTTTTGTCCATATTTTATGTACATATTTTATATTTTTTAATACATATTTATCCGGGCCCTAGTAATTATAAAATATAAAGGAAAGTTAAAACTTCAGTTCTATTTAACTTCTGCAAATAACTAAAAGTCAGCTGTTGTTTATTTACTCACATTGGCGATGGTATATGCGAACCGCAAATGGGATGGCGATGCGCGGATAACGGGAACACCTGCGCGGGAGGCTGTTGAAACCAGTGCTGCAGCAGCAGAGCCTCCACCACAAACCAGGAGAGCAGCAACCCTGCGCCCCTCCAGTGCTGCACACGTCTGTTCCAATACCCGCGCACTAAACCTGGTTAAAATTAAAAGAAATTATATAATTTACTAACATAAAACAATATCAAGCAAGTTACGTTGAGGTTAGCCCTAAAAAGTTTAAAAGTACACCTCAATACATCCTCTTGATATCATGGAAAATTCAATAAAAAATGCAAATAAAATGGAGTTATTTGAACATCTCGAAGTACTCACGAGTGTAATACAATAGTGGATTGTACCGATATAACCGCAATTGTATCAGAGGATCATTAACAAGGATTACGATACTTCGCATTGACCTTTTCATGGATTGCAATGATACAGCGAGATTAATTCTTACCTGAATAAGAGCAATCAAATATTTTTTTAAAAATGTATTGTACTATCTCAATAAACTGTCAGTGTTTAATTTATATTGCGGGTGGTACACTATTAGTTTTGATGGAAATTATCATTTGCAACCTTTACATCTTTATTTTTTATGCTAAAATATACAACTAAATTATTGTAAGCATTAAAAGAACTAAGGTATCTATTTCTATTCCTTAAAAGTTAACTGAAAACTACAGCCTTTTAAATATGAGAACATTATATTTTCAAGTAGAATGTCATATGTAACTCTAAAACACCCCATCGTTATAAACATTTAATATCTTTAATATAAACACCCTAGACACAGTTGAAATAGTAATAATATCTTCGTATATATACAAGTGTTCCTATATTAGGTGGTACAAAACCGCACTACAAAGACAGCTTAGAGTCATTTGTTATCGTGTCTCAAATCGTTCGAGTTTAACATCTTAAAAGCAATCGCAATATAAAAGAATGACGAGGGAATATCCCAAGGTTTGGTCTTCGTTTCAAAGAGTTGCTAAAAATGGGAAGACTTTGTCGTTTGAAATAAAAGATGTTCCGGAAGATCTATGGATCGAGGCAGTTGAATTTATGCTGGGAAATTATATAAGAGAAGATGTTTGGTGGATTACAGCTGGTAATAACCTTTTTATTCTATAATATTTGTCATATATTTATACATAAAAGTATAAGTCCATTGTGGTGGACTTCGTAAATTCAAATATAATAGTATTTGTAGTATTAAAAGCGAATATTTATTATATATTTAACACAACCGAACAAAGCACTGTTCAGGACGTAAAGACTTTTTGCAATTAACTAAATCTCATCTTATGTTGTCGAGTGTTTCACGCAAGAAAATGTACAATTTTATTTTCGCTAAGAACCCTCGTCGCAGATTATTTTCTTACAAGTAAAAATACTTTGTCAGATTGTTCAAATATCATAAATGCGAATAATATTCATCCTGACACATTAAACTGCTTTTTTTCATACCTTATTAACTTGTATTTGTATGTTATTTTCCAGAATCTAAATCTTTATTTCTTTTGGGTTTTGATAAAAGTTTTATAGAACGTAACTTTCAAAATCAACCGCATTAAAAATATACAATCAAATAACAATTAGGAATACCATATAAAAAATATAACTTCTTACAAACAAGAATATCTTTTCTTCTTTTAATCGACAGACAAAGATTCATAAATTGTTTCTTTTGTTATTAAGATACTAGTTATGTCTTGAGGGTTTTATTACGGATGTACGGATGTTACTGTTTTATGCTCCAAAAAAAATTATAGTGATCTTCTAAAATCGTTAAATACACCGTTTCCTCTTAAATCTAGGTAATATTAAATGAACACATATTATATCTAATCCAACACACTGACATTAAGCTCAAACATGCCAATCCGAACTAATAGTTACCCAAAGAGATTATAGGATTAAAGAGAATTCAGTGTCTGCTGTATACAAACAACCCTACTTAAATATCGGTTACGGTCAGTTACGTTTGACTTAATAACGTTCTAATATAAATTACAGGCTTTGTGAAATCTAATCTTCGCCAATGAATTATTTAACATGAGAATTTAATTAAGACCGTATTAACATTACACATACCTTTGCTTTTCAAATGACATTACAATGATTACGGGTGAAATAATATATATTTTTTAAATAAAAGTAACTTTCCTGTTAAAACATAATAATGAATTTTTTTCGTTAATAAAACTTAATAACTGGAAATTGAATTGGAAATTCAATATAGGAAAATGATTCACTCGGAGTGACTCTATTATATGAAATTAATATGGCGTGAGGATAATTAATTAATGTCTTTGAAACTGGCAGGTACAGCCGGGGATCCACAGGCTATAGAAGAGTATCGTGTGCTATTGACATCTATTATAAAGTTGAAGATGAGTTTGGGATGCTTTCTTGTCGAGGAATCTGGTGGTCGAGTTCTTGTTGGCATGAATATGTGTATGCCACAGGAAAAAGAACGCTTTGTGGAACACAATCCGGTAATATGAAATGTTATGAAAATGCCATAGATTCTATGTATGTATGTATGTTTGTTATTAACTCATGCATCAAGAATTTAACTAGTGACCTCATGGGGTAATTATATGTGAGAAAATGTGAGAAAATCAGGTAAACATTGGATTGCCACATATATTACAACAAGTTTTAAGTTTTAAATGACATTTATATTTATAACAAGTTGGAAATAATGTTGTATGCATGACCATATACAAATGTCATTAAAACCAGTTTCCGATGATTTTGCAGGCAATAATTAAATCAACAAACATATACATATATTAAAACATTTATATTTGATTATAAATTACACCATAGGAGATCTTTTAAACTCTCGCGCAATGTTATACGTTCCCTTATCAATTATGTTAATACCAAAAAGAAGATATCTTTATAGTCGCTAAAAAATGATGAAAATATGCACGTATGTTTGGTTGTCTTTAGAAGAAACATTGAGTAGTGACTGTAGTAGAAATAACATTATAGCAATATAATTAACAAATAGAAAAATGCATAACTAAAAGATACCAGACAAGATAAAAATAGTGGAAATTTCAAACTTCTTTTAGTAGAAATTATGAAATGTCACAGCAAAAAGTATAATAAAAATACATCTCTGAAAAGTAAAATCCTTACATAGAAATTAATTTGTACTTCCCATTTACCATTAATTTAAAATATTGAAGTTATATTTCATGACTATTATTGCAGAATATAAAAGCTCGAAAACAATACATTTTTGATTAAATACTGCGTCCATTATATTTTATAGATTACTTTTATTGGATATTAAATAGAGCGAAATACAACTGATAATTATATCGTCCTACATTTAGAAAAATATGGTTATTACAATAAAAAGGTTGAACTAAATACATCAACATACATAAAAATTTAACAAAATCTTTTCTCACGGATAGGTATATCCGTTAGCGTTTACCGGTGCCCTATCTATTCATCGCACGGAAATATCATAAATTCAAAACCTGTTTCACGGTAATAATTGTGGGAATAAAAAACTTTTATACTCTGATATGGTAGTATGAAAGAAAATATATTTTTCACAATTGAACAATTGTTAATTTAGTTTTCTATAACGATCAAACTGTAATTAAATAATTGTCAAATGGCAAAATTGTTCATAGTTTTTATTCATAAAGTACACCGATATATTAATTGTAAAGAATATGTAGAGGTTTTATTTCATAATTTTAAACAATGGAACTTTCCTTAGAAATTTTAACAATTACTGAAAAAACTGTATAAAACGATATAAGAAACTGTGAACAATACGACTTCATTACAAAGATTCAACAGAGCAGATATTGAAATAGTACCTACAAAATGCGCATTGTAAATATTTACTTAAACAAAGATAGATAAAATTTCGTTTCCCATCTCATAAAGAACTTAATGATTCGTTTTGAGAGAACTAAGTTTAGCATAAATATTTCGATATATTTATGTCCTATAAGCCCTATTAAAGACGAATATTACAGAAAACAAAACATTTTTCTAAAAACATTTAACAGTTGTTTAAAAAGAACATTTTTATTTGACTTTTATTTGACTTATACTTTTATGTATGTTTTCACAAAAGCTTTTCATTTACAAAAGGAAATTTGATAAGTCATTTTTTGTAACAGTATATAGTTTGTTGACCATTATCAAATAGGATTATTGACAACGTTAATATCGGGTAACATTAAACATGACTCGGGGATATTTTGTCTAGAGATCTGAAAAGAATTAAAATTATATTAAAGGGAATCTAAATAATAAAATATTTTTTTATATGAACGAGTCATTTTAAGAATATATGCAGCTCATATTGATTACAAGTTTTATTATTTCAAATTTAACTCATGAACATAAATCTTTATAAAGATTGAAACAAAAAACTTACAGCTTTAAAAATCGTTTACATACAAAATAAACTTTTAAGCCAAAAACGAAAGCCGGTCTGCTATCACTGCGTATGTTCAGCGAGGCTGTGAAAGTGCCGGCGATTTACGACAAATACAATGTCGATGTATACCTCATGGGAGCTGGCCTCTCTGTGACTCCTGAATACAGAGGACTGGGATTGGCAGTCGAGTTGCTTAAATCTAGGTAAAGAAAATTGTTTTCGCTTACAAAATATCTACCTAAGTATTCCGTATTAGTTTTATTTAAACATTGTTATTTAGAAGAATATTTTATCTATGTAGGAAAATAAAAGGGTTTCAAATATTAATAAAATACTTTTATAGATATTTTAACATTATTTTTTTCACTACAAAGATTTATAATCAGCTAAGATATATTATTCAAAATACATATATTAAAAAGTATGTATCCCTTAAAACTTTTATGCAGCTAGGATTATAATTTTACAATAAATGGTTAAAACGCTTTGGCGTTTGTTATTCAAAAAAGGAATATTCTATGTTTAATTGACTTTAAAATAATCATTTATTTTCCGTAGACATAAAGAGTAATTTACACATGCAGTAGCAGTAATATTGTATAAGGAGCATTTTTCTAACTTAAGTCTAGAAATAGTTTTAAAACGAGTTATATGAATACAAACATGAGAACTTGATAAGGTATTTTATTTTAAGGATGCTTCTTACAAAAGAAGGAGGTTTAAGTGTCACTGGAGGGATATTCACAAGTGCACCGGCTCAGCGCTCGGCGGAAAAAGCTGGTATGGATTGTGTCTACCAGATACCATACAAACAATTCGGTGAGCAATGTAATATCGACTTTAACACGACTACGGAAGATTTAAAAATATTTGCCATCAAAGTATAAAATAACAATGGTGTCATGAAAATATGCACGCAAGAAATGTCTTTTAGAATTTTTGCCTTATTGAAGTTATACGCATTTTACTACTTGATATATGGAGAAAGATAGAAGAAGTACTTAAAACTTAATGTTTCTATTAAGAGATGACAAGTGCTTTATATAATATGTACCATGAATAATAAAGAACGCTTGTGATTTCGCTCACGTCTCATATTCCAATATTTGATAATACACTTTATTACATATTACTCCGACTTTTATTGCCCTTTAAACTTATAAAACTATTAAATAACTTTTATATTATTACAACTTTACTTAAACCTCTATCAAAATAAACCTTTTAAAAATTTCTAGTATAAATACAAAATTTCACAGTAAATCTGTATGTAAATCTTCATCAGAGATATTCTTATCAGTGAATTAGTAATAAAGCTGAACGTTACGTTATCGTAGGTGCCACATAAAGTATTACAGAGGCCTCTTTAGATTCTCGTACGCCCCATCCCCACGTCCCTCATAATTCAGTACAAAACTCTAGGGGGCAAACGGAATGTGCTTTATTTAGTGTTATTTGTTGAACATATTTTCTCACTTATATATTTTATTATATCATTAAATATATACAAGAATAAAATCTAAATAGACCAAAGCCACTACCAGATGGATGTTGTAATATAAAAAGTCGATGCGCTCAACGTTCGAAAGTTACAGTTTTACGACTGATAGGGGACCATCCAAAGAAATGATATATCACTGTCGTTTAAAATGTTAGCGATGTTTACTCCCGAGATTTCAGATAAATGTTATAATACATTTCAGCTCTAATCGTTACTCATTTCATATCGAAACAAGTTGTATCTTAATGTATTAAAGATGGTTTCAGTGAGCCATAGTTATCATTACGAGTATTTATTGACGTCATTAATGAATCACTAATGTCCAGTAATAATTTAAGTTCTTTATAAAACCATTATTATCATGATAAGTAATTATTATATATCATTCAATGATTATTTTCCAAAAATTGTTTTTATTTTATTTTATTCGTAAAATTCTTTCATTAAATTACATGCGACAAAATAATAATCATTTGCTATGATCGCGAATTAACGTAACTGATACACATTTTAAGCTCGTATTTTAACCTAGGTAGGTATATAATTTAAAAAGCAAAACTGTAATCTGAAAATCGAAAAATAAACTCGAACAAAAGTGTCGTTGTAAGGTTTCAATAGCATTAAAATTCGTGTTTCTCTTTGCACTGTAATAAAAGTAAAAAATATGTATATACATTATGTTTAAAAATAGATCCATACAGATATAATAAAGAATATGAAAGTTAATTATTTTATTTTATAAAATTATTAAAACCTTTTGTTTCGTTTTTTTTAATATATTGAATATGTTTTAACGAAACAAAAGAGCCATTTTTCTTATTTGACGCCATATTTGAGTTCATATCAAATATCATTAAAATTTTATTCGTCAAAATGTAAACCAAAATAATTACTTTAGCGTTAAGCGTTAAATAAGTCTTATTCTAGACTAGAGACTTTTGAAAAACGTCTTGAAGCATATTTATTTATCATAATGGCATTACTGTTAGCTTAATCTGTCGGATGAGAATGAAATATGTACATATATTAAAATTTATAACGAACATTTCTTCCATCTATATATCATCTTCAAGGATTTCATAGCTCATCCCAGCTAATCTAATGATGATATCGCTGGAGCGAATATTTCTTTAAAAGAATTATTGTTCTTAATGTGTGTAATGCTGTTTTTATTACACAATAACTGTGTAAAATAAAAATATATTACAATGAGTTAGTAATGTCGTCTTTTTTCTAATTGTAATATATACCTACTATTTTAAATACTATTTTTGTCTACACTATGAACTTTATACAGTACTTTACCTTAAGTAAATAACTTTAAATTCAAATAGTTTTTAAAGTTCCCTTAACTAAAATAAAGATAACTCTTGCTAGGATGTATTTATTTATGACAAATAGAGCAAAACATTAAGCTTTCAGTAAAAGCCACACCGCGTGCACGAAAATATGGCTTCATGAGATTACACATGGCTTTTCAATATTATTTATACAACGCCAAGTTTTAAATTTGTGACCTTTGTTGTATTTGAAGTATTATTATAGTTTGGTTACAGTTAGTGTGTCCTCAAAATTTTATTGTATTTAAATATAAAATTTATTAGATAAACAAGCGTTTCAATTTAAGTGCGAAGGCGTACACTGCTATCGATTTTTTGATCCTATAATGTGGCTCGTTTAATAGTCTGGATAAAAGAAGATAAAAGTTTTAAACATCTTTTTAGCATTTGATTTTTTTTTATCCTGTTTGAATACCTTGATAAGCGGTTAAGACTACAACTAAGTAATTTAAGACTACAAAGCAAATTCTTTTGCTAAAGTTGATAACTTCACTCTTGTTTATTAAAATACCCTCAAACACAGGACTTTGTCTACTGTTTATTTATTATATTACTTTATATGTCATTAATTTCCTTTAGACATTTCTCCTTTATTTACATAAATTACAAGGCACCCACAGCGGCATCGTACCGCTTTGAAGCAATGTTATTCCAAAGTGAAAAAAATAATATAACAAAAATATAATGTTTTAGATAAAAATTCCTCAACGGAGTTATACATTTCGCGTGGTTCAATTTCAATTTTAAATATATGGTAACAGCAGGATTATTACTATTGCCTCCGATACCAAAGTGAAGACTCTCTTCTATGCAAAATTTAGAGTCAATGCATCTTTATTTATGCGATCGCTAATTTGAATACTATGTAGACTTCACGGATTAATTTTGAGGGGACACAGTTTTTGAAAACCTTATAAAAAAATTTATATGTTAATCACACACAGAACTTATGTAACTACAAACCTTTTCACGTCTTTGGCATTATATTATATCTTTATGTAAGCAAAGGGTTTTATTTACTGAGACTTCTAAAATATATTTTAGGAACATAATAGTAGTAATATGTAATATTGTTTATTCAAATATGTCATAATGACAAGAAAGACAAGAAACTGAACGTGACAAGAAAGAGTATCTTAATCGAAAAAATGCAAAAGACGTTTCGTTAAAATCTAAATCATTTAGAATATACCTTTCATCTTCTGGCAGCTCGATGTACAGCGGTAGCAGCGTGATATTGCGTAGATAGAGGGGATAATCTCCGGCGAGATAGGTTTTTGATAGATCGTTGAGAGTACGATTGAAGGTGCGCACAAAGTCGGAGGCTGAAGACGGTGCGGCGATCGCCAGATAGAACGAGGTCCGTGCGTCCTGTAGTACACGCAACTCTCGCGCTGTTGCCGCCAGCGCCACAGCCAGCGCGAGCAGCAGCGTGCGCGCGCGCATCGCCGCCCCCCACCTCACCGCCTACCCCGCCCCCCATATCCTGCCATGCCCAGCCTAACACCATCCACGCTTAGCACCCCAACCCGTTTATATGATCTGTGAGGCACATTTCTGTCCAAATTCAAATACTGTGAGGTTGGTACGATATTTGTGGTTTATGACATCTGTGGTCCGATTAATGTTGGACCGTTAATCCGTGGACGGTGTTAGAAACATTCGTTGAATTTTGATGTGACTGTGATATCTGAAACAGAAATATTAATTTAATTCGATGTTAACTCAAACAGACGTAACAATAGTAGTTATATGATTTAACAGAATTGTCTCCATTAAAATATACTACCGACATATTAGTTTTATTTCATACACATATGTATATTAAGATTTTATGAAACATCACACGCCAGTTGTTTTTATAATTTCCGACCCGAGTTAGGGTATCGGAGATTAATAAAACTACTGAGGTCTCGTTTTCCGGAATTCGTAGCTTCGAATTCGAAGCTAGGAATCCCAATAATATGATAACTATTGTTATTCGGAGCGTACGTAAAATAAATTTTAAGAAAAGCAAAAATATTTAAGGACATATATTTTGTTAAATATTCACTGTTGTTTTCAAGACTTAAACTAAAATGTTTTTAGGTATTTCCTAAAAAATAATTATAAAAATAGCTAGTCTTTGTCATCAATAATTATGATAATAGCCTACTACAGAAAAACACATGTGAATTTTAATATTGATATTGATTATATCAAGACCCTATTCATTATAATATAGTAGAACTTTCAGGAAAATAATATCAAAATATTAATATCGTGTATTAAGTACAATTTGAACCCACCATTATTTAACAAAATTTGACATTGTTTGCAAACACGTATCTGTATCATATTACCTAAACTCCGCTAATTTCCGACTAAACTCACAATATTAGCTTTCAGGGAACATCAGTGTTCGAACCGTTAAAATTATCTCGTATTATGAAAATGTAAACTTAACTAATCTTACTAAAATAATTAATATTTGGTATGACTGTTTGATGCTATTTAATGCAAAAACTGCTAAAAACATTTTGTTGAATCGTTATTGTAAACTTGCTAGCGTAGCTTGGACATCAGAATAGAAAATATTATTTATCCGGAAATTCTGCGTTGCTATCGCAGGCTTGAGCCTAACAGCTGTGGATTGTGGATGAAATCACATGATGCGGATTATAAATGTCGCTGTTTAACATACCATGTAACGATATCTATTGACTGTAATTTTAAAAAATGCTACTGGGCATGATTTTGAAACAAAATCAAAAACTAGTTTGCTAAGAGCAGATCAAGAAAATATTGTTATTCAGAAATTGTGTATTTCAAATAATTTATAAACGACTGCGCCGAATCTGATTTTTATCTAATATTAGTCTAGATTGTGCAGATTAAAAAAAAAAATTATACTTTTCCATAATCTTCTGTAAGAAATTAAAAATAATGAAGCTCGCAAAGAATAAAATGCTTACGGAAAAAAGGAGAAGTTTCCTTAGCTTTGCTGCAATTAAAATACCATAGAAATCGGGTTAAAGTGTCACTCGTGGCTTTAATAATATGCAAGCATTTTAACCAAAAAATAAAAAAAAATTGCTGTCGGAAATTGTGAAGACCAACACAATTTCCGACAACTTCTTTAAGGAATGGTTTAATATTTTTACAAAAATACAAATCAAGATATTCTTATAAAAATATTAATGTACAGAAGCTTCTGTTTGAATTTTATTTAATATAAATAGTAATACTTTTGAAAGGGAACGTCTTAACTTTATATTACTCCATATAAATTGCTGCTCAGCTTATCTTTTAATAAAAGGCTCCAATGGGAGTACATAGCGACGTTTAATAGTTTAATTGATTGCATGCTTAAAAGGAAAATCTGATTACAGTGGAAATTGCTGCATTGCAAATTCCTTTATATGTTTTAATTAGTTAATTAAATGAATTATACGTAAAAAGCCTCTTTGAGAATTTATTCATTTAAATGTTTTAAGTCCGAAATTAGGTACGTATGTCACATATTTCACTTAATTATGCAAAACGTATTCTAAAATATTTTGTGTACTTTTGGTATAAAAAAAAAATATCTCCAGAAACTCGATGGGAGGAATTTCGGACAAAATGGACTAAAATTTAGCATTCCTTGAAAAATGTTTTTTTAAAATAATCTTCTCTCGGCTCATAGATTTAAAATTAAGGATAGGTTTTCATCTTTTGTTGGATAAATGTTGGAGATACAACATATGAGATGAACAATGTTCAAGAAGAAATGCTTTTTAATGAAATGGTTTATTATTTGTTGTAAAGTTATACTTATAGACTTTGTGACAAAAAAAAAACAAATTAACAAGTTATTTTAAAAAACAACAAAAGGAAAAACATAAAAATCTCAAGTATCCTGATGCTGTGGTAGAGAATTTATGGCACAAGAGAGTGATGCCACACGTCATTTTGTTTGATTACGACATGTTTCTCGTGTCATATCTCTCACACATAGTTGTTACAATGAAGTGAGTACATTTTACATATCTTGTGTAAAGATTTTAGGCATATATAACATTTGAGCCAGCATTTTTTTTGTAAGATAATTTCTTTTGTAAGAATTCTTCCAGAATTCAATGCAGACATTATTTTTATATTAGTCTAATCTTGGTCTTGGTTAAAGGATGTACTTACAGATGGCGGATCAGCAATGTTACGATTTTAAGTCACAATCAGATTAAGTATAGGAATTAAAAGAAATTAAAATGGACACTGAATCAATTAAATCGAATGTAGTGAAGAAAAGTTATGGAAATAATACACATATTTTTCTCAGTACAAACTCGGTAGTATAATTTAGTATGATATAACGACTTTATGATAGATTTAAGGAATTAGAATCCAATAGTTTTTTGTTTTTTGTTTTGTTGGTAAAAATGTCTCTTTGAACCATGTTATTAATATTATGAGGTTTTTTCTTCAAATGATTTTTTACCATTTCCTCTTCGCGAAATACTTGCCACCTTCAGTTTCGCGCCCGGATGTATCTTTGTTTCTTTTTAGAAAAGATTAAAGCTAATTTTATTCTGTTTTCTCCTACACCGTACAATTTTTTTGTGGAATAAGCCAAGCTTTTCCTCAAACTGATAAGCCAGTTCATCGAATTATTGTCCTAGTAGATACAAAACCAACATAAAGTAGACATTTCATATAGGTGTTCTTATTGATTCCGTACATATTCACTACTTATTTAAAATAGAAAAACATTATTTAAATGAAACATTAATACACATATCACAAAAGCTATGGCATTTCTTCTAATCTTGGGAGACAGATGCCATACGTATCAAATATTATACAATATTAATAAGGGTATAAAACGATTGTTTCACTGTGTTAAAAACTAATTCTAATGAAACAAGTGAATATCACGAACAGACTGATTTATTATTGTAGGTGGAGATGGGTTCATAACAATTGTTACACATTTAGCAGCAGAGATGCCACTACTAGTTTTTTTAAAGATACATATTTTGATAGATCTAGCAACATAAACGTTATAAAAGAATGAAACAGGTAATTTATAAACACTGAACTTATGGTAGTCATTTAATACACTCGAAATTTTTGCCGTACAAATAACACAAATTATTTAAGCTTATTAAAAATGAACAGTTTTTTTCAGTATCAGCGTTGATTTATATTATTCTCAGTATAAAAATTAGTACCGTCTCACTTATATGGCACGATAACCAGTGCATGGTACTTTTCTTATGGCAACTACCCAAGTTTCCCTAAGCAATCAGAAAAATAAAAAAAATCACATCAGGTGAGTTTTTCAACATATTTTTATAAATATATCGTACATTGATAAAATGAGAAGAGAAATATATTTAATAAATAGCCGTTTTTATAAATCCATCAACCTAGCTCCTACTTGTTTATCTAAAATAAAAGAATAAAGAGAAGTAACCCGAGGCTCTAGTAAATGAGATCTTGCATGCGAAGTAATGTTTATAATTTAGTAATTTCCTTTTCCTTTGTTCTCTTAATATACCTAAATGATAGTTACGTATAATGAGGTATTTACGCAGTATTTTTTTTTAAGTGTAATACATTTAACACGTAAAAATAAAAATAAAATATTATTTTTAAATTATCTTAAAAACTTAAACACTTAAATTTATCTTAAAAAAATATATTTTTTATACATATAACATTGTTTGTATTGTTTTAAATAACGTAATTAAAAAGACGAATTAAAATAATATCAGCGCGCTGGTCATTTAAAACCAATTAGTTTCTTAAAAATACCTTTACATAATCTTGTAAGGTGATAAACAACCATTCAAGTCTATAAATATAATAAAACTCTTCATAATATTAGATATTTATTAAATATAAATCAAAATTATAAGTTACATTTTGTTTTTGCAATATTATTACTAGAAAGACTTTGTTAATATTTATTACTATTAGTTACTTCAGTACATTAATAGAACCCTATTTGATTTATGTGAAATTGGCTGCAATAAGAGTCTTTGTAAATTTTGTAACATTTTCTAAATAGAAGCACACACTTTTTTTAGGAGAAATCCTCACAACGTTATGGAATATTTTAGGGAATATATTATCATGTTGTTTAGAGTGCGCCATACTCAATAAAACAACTTTAAATTATAATAAAGTGAAATAAAATTCGAATAAGACAACGACCAGTCTCAGCTAATATTAGACAGCTATGGTTGTTTCTCACAAACGTTGGGTGGAACTTAAAGGGCTGGTACCGTATCCATTTAAAAAGAACATTCTAGATAATTCGACGACGTGTATTTTCTTAACTAACTAGTATTTTCATATACTTGTGCCGATTTACTCTGTCTGTGCCCAGATTGCACTCTATTGAGTTATTTAGTGCTTCTTAAGAGCTTTCAAACTAATAAAGCGAACATGTTTTTTATAATATTGCTCTAAATTTTAGT